AGCATTCCGCGGTTTCCGGAGTCCTTCCACCTGCCCGCCTCGCGCCCCTGCGCGCCTGTAGCGGGTCCCAGCTCCCGCGACCGCACTTGGCCAGGCTGTGGCCCTGGCGAGAGGCTGGACCGGGTGCGGCCCGCAGGTGTTGAGAGCAGGACAGAGTCCAGACGAGGCCACCCTGTCCCCTGGGGCAGCCCTGCCCCACCCCCTGCTGCTCCCAAGGTCGCTCTAGGGCCCAGAGCCGCCCTGGAGGGGTCGGCCCCCAGAGAGCCGCCGTGACCCCCAACAGTGCAAAGCCAGCCCCGCACCCTCCCTGCCCAGCTGCGGACTCGGTGGCCGGGCAAAGGGCACCCGCGGGCCTGCACCTCTGTCCACAACGCGGGCGAAGGGCTGAACTTGGGGAGAGGCTTGGGGGGGGGTGCGGGGGAGCATCCCCAGGGGTTTGCCCGCCCTCGGGAGAGGCCTGGGCCCCCACACATGTCCTTCCGTCCCTGCCGCCCTGGCCAGGACCCCCCCCACCCCCCTGCCGAAGCAGGGGCTCCGACCTCGCCGCCTGAGTGCTGTGCCCCCGCCCCACTGGGCGGCTCGGGGGCGCCGGGCTGATCAGTCTGGTTTGCCCTGAGCCCCCCGACCCCACGGTGACCACTGGTGAAACGCCATGAGCCATCGTGAGTTCTTTCTGGGGGACCCAGGGCCACCATGGGCCCGGCCCCCCTGTGCCCTCCCCAGGTCCCAGCCGGGAAGTGGCCGTGGCCAGGCAACTGGCCTCAGGACAGGTCCCAGAGGGGCAGCTGGCCAGCTGTGCCCGGGCCTGCGACCCAGCACCAGGGCGGCAGGCAGACAGCGTGGGGCCCGGCAGGCTGAGCCACCGTCGGGGCGGACGAAGCCCCCGCAGGGCACCGCGGCCCAGCACGCTGCCGCCTGGCCTCCTCCCCTGGTCTCCGGGCGCCTGCTCTGCACAGCTGTGCCCTCTGTGCAGGAGTCGGCCAGCCCTCCTGAGTTTGATGGCCAGGGACAGGCCAGGAGGGCAGGGTCAGCGGGGTCCCAGCCAGCTCCTGGCAGAGAAGGCCACGCCTGGGCAGAAACAGGGTGCGCCGGCTCTCGGGGGTGTAGGGTCCTCCGGGCCCCGGGCCCTGGCCTGGGCCCAACTCCCCTTCTCCGAGCTCCTCCTGCCCGACCTGGAGAGCGGTCCCTGGGGCTGCGGGGGTGGGGGGGGGTGTCCGGAGCACGCTCAGCCTCGGCGCACGGGGTCGGGGTGCGCTCGGGGGGCAGTGGTGCAGGAGACCAGAGGAAGCTGGGGGGGGGGCTGGGACACGCGGAGGCGGCAGGCAGAGCCGAGACAACTGCCCTGGCTGAGGTGCCCGCAGCCGGGACGGGGAGGGACCTTGGACAAAGCCCCTGTCCAGCTTGGGCGGGGCTGGCTCTGGCTGACGCCCCTGGCCCGCCTCCCGACCCGCCCTCAGGCCCCTCTCCACAGACCAGAGTGTCCAAGCCCCAGTGTCCAGGGTGCGGCCACCGCCTCCCCCACACCCCGTGGTCTGCGACCACCGACTTGGCCTCAGCCATCCTCACCCCTCCTGGCGGCCACCTGCACAAGGACAGCCGTGCGGGGACACCGGGGACAGGCCGACGTGCAGAACTCACACAGGACATCTAAATTCGTGAACTTCCCATCAGGGTCTGTTTTGATAAAAAGGGAAACAAACGCAGGTGTTGCCAGGAGTTCGGTGTGTGACCCGGGCTCCCTCCTCGGGAGCACGCGGAATGTCTGGGGTTTGTTCTGGGTGAGGCCTTGGTGGTCTCGGCAAAAGCAAAACAGACCTTCCTTCCGACTCCGAGGTGTGGAGGAGTGACGGGGGGGCGGGGGGGGGCGCGGCCGGGGGCGCAGCAGGCACTCCAGCCTCCGCGCTGGCGGCCCCGCTGTGGCCTGGCGAGGCACGGCGGGCCCTGCTCTCCGGTTCCGCCCGGCTGAACGCCCGCGAGGTTTTGTGTGGGTGTAGAGGCCGTCGCTCAGCACGGGTCTGAGTGCTCACTGTGTGCGTGGGGCCGGGGGACAGCTGCGCCCAGGCCGACAGGGGCCCTGTGTCCCTGCCGGAGCGGCTGGGGCCCGAGGGCCACAGCTCCGTGTGCCCCGGTGTCTGAGCCCCGGCAGAGCCCCGGCACCGCTGGGCAGAGCCGGGCCCTGGCCGGCGGGATCCTCAGCGGCCACTCCCACCTCGCCCTCCACGGCGAGGGCGCGAGCACCTACAAACCGCACCACGGGCGAGCTCGTGGGTGTCGAGGACACGCCTGTCACCTCCACGCTCGGGGTCCCTGCAGCACCGGGGCGCCCTCACCTGACACCCTCAGAGGCCAGCCCCGCGAGAGGTGGGCCCCCTGAGCCAAAGGCGGGGGAGGGGATGTGTCACCAGCAGCTGTCCTTCCGGGGGACACTGCGGCCGCCGGGGTGGGGGCGGGGAGGGGCCTGCCGGGCCGCCCAGCGGCCGAGAGGACGGGGCACCCGGGCTCCGTGCTGGACGTGTTCCCGGAGGCGACGTGGTCCGTGCCGTCCGCACGGCAGCCGCACGCCCGCCCCAGGCCCCCGCCGACCCCGCGTCCCCCGTGCAGATGGTCTCAGCAGGTGAGAGTCCCCACCTTGCGGACGGGCCGGGCCGGCCCAGAGAAGACGGGGAGCTCGACGCCACGGAGCTCGTGGGAACAGGACCAGGGAGTGGGGCGGGTGAGGTGCTGAGGCCTGTGGCTCTGTGTCCTGCGGGGCTGGAACGGTCCCCGTGCAGGAGGCCGGGGCGGGGGGGTGGGGGGGGCCAGGCTGAAGTGCAGCCTGGGCAGGGAGGGAGAGCCTGGCCGGGGAGGTGGGAGCCGCACGGCCGGCCGGCGGCCTGGAGGCAGGCAGGTGCAGGACGGGCGCCGGTCAGCCAGTCCCGGGGCAGAGGTTCTGAGGGCGCCACAGCCCCCGGGCGTGCCGGGGGCCTGGGGTCCCTGGGCCCAGGCTGAGAGACCTAGCAAAGGTGCCCCTGCCCGGGGAGCTCCGAGCAGGGACCGGGCCAGGCGGCCCCTGGAGAACGGCCTGCCCACCGGACGTGCGGCTGCGACAGAGAACTGAGTCACCAGCTTCCTCTCTGCTCTCGTCCCGAGAGGTCCAGGAGAGGGCGGAGGTCGGCGCCGTCGGGCACCGAGGCTTCCTGGAAGCGGCTGGGGACAGGCTGCTCCTGAGGAGGCCCAGGCCACTGCCGGGGCCCCAGTGGAGGCAGCGAGAGGCTTTGGGAGGCAGGACCTGGGACCCCCAGTCAGAGCGGGTCTCCTGGGCCAGGAGCAGCCCTCTCCAGATGCCCCTGGGTGCCAGAGGGAAATGCCCACCCTGGGGTCTGCCAGCACGGGCGGGGACAGGGTGCAGTGAGCTGGGGACCGTCCGCCGAGGGGCCCACCCGGTGGGACGCTGGGCCCCCAGACCCCCGGTGGGAAGCTGGGGGGCACGTGCTCGTGAGGCCGTCCCCGGCCTCACCCGAACCCTCCCCAGGAGCAGCCTCGGGGCGGGGTGTCCACGCCAAGCCCCCCAGAGCAGCGGAGAGGCACAGGGACGCCCAAGGGCTGGGGCAGGACGTGGGCGCCGTGTGGCCCGTCCGCAGCCCCCAGGACACCAAGGGTGGGCAGGGCCTCGCATCCGCTCCTCCCGGGGCCCCGGGCACGGCCCTGGGGCCGGAGATGGGGCAGGAACAATCGCCCGGATTGTGGGCTTTGCCCGGGTGCACACAGCCGGCTTTCACGGGCCCACAAGATGGGTCTGTGCCCGCCTGGCGCCCCAGGGCCCGGGCCCAGTGCCCGGCCGGGGGGGGCGCTGCTGTGGCCCGTGCCCCTCCCAAGGGCAGAGGCTCCCTGCAGCCGCCCCCCCCCCCCGGCTTCGGGAGGGCTTCCCGTGGCTGCTGTGACCCACCGCCACTACCCCAGCGGCTCAAAGCAGCGCAGCTGGGAGGGCGGGGCCTGAACGCGTCCACAGGGCGGTGTGTCTGCAGCCGCCCCGTTGCGTCCCACGTCCACACAGGGACTGGCCACTGACCCCGGCCGGGTCCAGGCTGCCACACGGGGTGGCGGGCGGCACCCACCTCCGGTTTCTCCCCCGTGACGTGGGACCAGGTCTCGCCCGGGACGGTGGGGTGTCTCCCACGTCGGGGCCCCGGGGTGCAGCCAGGCTCTGCCTCACAGCCCGAGCCACTGGGCGGGGGCAAGAGATCGGGGGCAAGGGCACCGGCCTCAAGGGCTGTCCCCAGCACCCTCCCTCGAGGGGCACACGGTCATCCCGCCCTCCCCCACGTGGGCCGCCCTTGGCGCTCGGTTCTGACGAGGAGGGTGTGCGGGCCGGTACATCCTGGGGCTGGGTCCCAAGGGCCCGGCAGCCGCCCCCACCCACCCTCTGGGGGAAGCCAGACGCCACGTTGTGGGGAAGTCCCCGGAGAGGCCGAGTGGTGAGGGACGGGGCCTCCCACCAACAACCAGGGGGTCAGCAGGGCCTCCGACCCCGGGCCGGCCTCCGGAGGGGCCCGAGCCCGGACCCCGGGCTGCCTGTTCCCGAGCTCCGACGCCCAGAATGGGGAGACGGCCAGTGCGGCCGCTCTGCGCCCGTGTGGGGCGGCCGGGGACTCGGGGCCCCGGGTGCCAGGCCCAACTCCGGCCCCGGAAGCACATGTGAGAGCCGCCTGCCCCCACCCCGGTGCCCACACCTCCCACGCCACCCGTCAACGGGGGGCCTGGACCGCTGCCTTGGGGAGACAGAGTTCGGGGGGGCCGGCGAGCCTCGCACCTCAGGAAAACGCGAGCTCACGCAGAACCCCGTTCCAGGCCTGGGGTGGGGGGGGGGCGGGCATGGCTTCCGCGCAGACCAGAGCCGGCGGCGGTGACACGTGAGCCACGAAGAGCCTCCACCACGCGGGGCCCCCACCACCGAGCACGCGTGATGTGTGAACCGCGCACGGCTTCCACTCTCCGCACCGAGACACGCACAGAATCGTGAGCAACGTTTATACTGGGAGGCTGGGACGAGCGCAGTTTGGACAGACTGGGGGAAGTGAACACATCAAACGCGGTTCCGCACAGAGACGGGCGGGGGCGGCGGGCTTCGTGGGGACGGAGGCTCGTCCGGGGGGACGCTGAGCTCCGGACGTGGGCGGTGGTGACGGCCCCACAGCGGGGTCCTCACGCGGCGTGCCCACGGCCGTGACACTTAGACACGGCCGAGGCGGGGAACGTCCTGTCGGGGGTGTTCGCCAAAATACACAGAGAGGGAAAGGCCTGCTCTCCGGCTGGAGAGAGGACACGCCCCGGTCGGTGTGAGGTGGGGGGCAGCTCGCCACACACTGGACGGCCCCGCAGCACAGGACGCAGCGTCACACGGCACGGCCACCGCGGCCGAGGCCCGCTGCTGGGGGGCCGCGCCCAGACGCACATGGGCAGGGGCCACGGCGGGCTCACGGCAGGGTGTCCGCTCTGTCTCGGCCACCAGAATCCACCGGGCGGCCTGCACGGGCACAGCCGGGCCTGTATGGGCTGAAGATGCGTTTGGGGGGGGTTGAGCCGAAGCTGACTGGTGTGTGGGGGGCCCTGGGGACTGGAGTTCCCACAGTGACCGGCACAGGGTGAGGCCCCGTCTCACTTTGGTTCTGACCACTTTGTCCAGAGAGAGTCTGGGGGGCCCCCCTCTTCTTCTCCAGGTCCCCCAGAAGCTGCTCTGCGACTCGGGACCAGCAGATGTCATTCCGGGCCCCACACCGAGACCAGTGCCCGCGGGTCGGGGAGGCTCCGGGTCTCAGCTTCCTTCCCACCCCGGGCGTCCTGGCCCAGCAAGGGGCGCCGTGGCCGAGGACTGTCTGGCGAGGCGGCCGGTGTCCCAGGCCAGCTGACACGGCTGCCCAACATAGGCGTCACGCCCACTCACCCACGAGACCGTCCTGTGGGGCCTCCTGTGGCTTCCACGGGACCCGAGGAGGGAGTGGGACACCCCCTTGGACACCATCGTCCCACGTCAGGGTCCAGAACCGGCCACCTGGGACCCTGGCTGCTGCCTGGGCGGCCCCCGGAGAGGACGGTGACCAGAGAGGCCGTGGCCCCAGCCCCTCGGCTCCAGCAGGACCCAGACCGCCCCCATGGGGCCGCCTGGACGGCCACAGGGCGTGAGCACGGTTCTGCGTCCCCCAGGAGACGAGAGAGGGAGTGGGGGACCCCAGGACGAGCCCACAGAGCACGGGGAGACGGGATGCGCATGGGGAGGGGCAGCTGCACCGCCTCAGCCTGGGGTGCGTCTGGTTGCCCTTGTTTCTAAGATGCGCGGTGACTGTCCTACTCCACGTGTGAGCTCGGGGGCGGGGGAGCAGTCCCCAGGCTGCCGGGACAGACGAGCCGGCACACGGGAGCGGCGGGCGGCGGGCGGCGGGCGGCGGGGGCTCAGACGGTGAGGGAGATGAAGCTGTTGTAGCGCTGGATGTTCCGCTGCAGGATCTCGGAGCAGGGCCCCAGCACGCGCTCGAAGCGGGGCCGGTCCAGCTTCACGCACTTGAGGGGGCCCCGGGCCACCACGGTGGCCGCCCGGGGCCTGTTCAGGAGCAGCGCGATCTCCCCTGGGGGGCGGGAGAGCGTGCTGTCAGGCCCCGGGCCCGGGGGCAGTGCTGTCAGGCTTGGGGAAAGCAAGCGCATCCCCGGGACGATCGGCTACTTTTGGCTCCCGCCGACCAAGACAGGCTCCGCGCCAGCAGGGAGCTTGGGGCCTTGGGCACGGACCGGCTGCCTGACCCTCAGCGTGGAGCCGGGGCGGGTCCTGGGCCCTGGGGGCAGCCCACCGCCCAGGGACGGCGCCAGGCGCGGCCGCCTTCCCCGGCCCCCCCGCCCCCACTCCTCCATCTGTGCGTCCTCCCGGCCCCGCTGCACGCGGGAGGGCCCCACTCACCGAAGTAGTCGGAGGGCCCCAGGCGCCCCACCTCCATGTACTCCTCGTTCGGGGACCTGCGCTGGAGGACCGAGGCGGTGCCCTGGGGGCGCCAAGGGGACATGGGAGGGTCACGCGGGGCGGGCCCCCCTTCCTGCCAGCCCCCTCCCGAACAGCCCCCCTCTCCGAGCAGCCCCCCACGGCTGAATTCCGTTTCTTCCTCATGCACAGAGCGTGTGGGGTCTGAGCCGGGTCTGCCGGGGCACCCCCCCGGAGACCTGTCCTCCCGGGACCGTGGGCGGGCGGGTGGGTCTGGGGGCCGCTCCCAGCCGACCTCTGCCAGCTCCCGAGGACAGGGAGCGTCTCGCGCTGGGCACGCGGTCTCGGGGTCATGAACTCGCAGCGCCATGTGGCCCCTCCCCGACCCCAGCAGGGTGGCGGCTGCGACCTCTCGAGGCTCAATGATTAACAGGAGGCTCTGGGGCTGAGACGGGCCCGAGAGTGTGGCCCCGATGCTTCTGCCCTCGGGGCCGGGGGCCGGGGGGGGGGTGGCAGCCTGGGGAGGGACAGTCCCAGGTGGGGACACTGGGGTGGCGGGTGGGGGTCTGAGTCCGGGCTCCTGGTCTGCCGTGTAACCACCGGGACAGAGCCCGACGCCGCCTGCGCCCGGTAACCAGGACCAGGCCTCGGTGGAGACGGAGGGCGGGCCTCCTGCACGGCCCAGTGCGCAGGGTCTCCCCCGGAGCGGCCCCCACCACACCAGCTGGTCTCAGACACCTCCCCGGTTTAACTCGAGCCGCCCGGCCGGTCACAGGCCCCCTCACCCCGCCCCCACCCCGGGCGCCCCGTCCCCGTCACGGCCGAGGACTCCTAGCGGCCGAAGCACGTCCCGCCCCCCTGCCCCCGGCCGCGGCGGCGAGCATGACTCCATGCCCGGGCGGGCTCCGTGCTCCCGGCTCAGCCCGCCAGCCTCCCCGACCCCGGAGGCCACGCCGGGTTAGTGTGTCACGCCGGCTGCACCGCCGTCTGGGGGGCAGCAGGGCAGGGACCCCGTGGTGCCGCTGTGCCTGGACGCCCTCGGCCGGCCCTGCTCCCAGCACCGGCGAGTGTGTGACGGTGGGGGGAGGGGGGGCAGAGCGGGACGGGTAAACCACCGTCCGCACGGGGCGGGCACCGCCACCGAGTCGAAGACCCCCAGAGAGGAACGTGGCCCCGGCCTCACCCGCCAGGACAGTCTCCAAGCCGCCTCCGCCAGGGCCTGGCTCCTGCGCAGGCGCCGGGCACAGTCCGGGCACCTGGAGCCGCTGGGCCCCCGTGGAGGATGAAACGCGGGGACAGGCAGGCGTGTGGTGGCCCTCGGGCCCTGCGCCTTCTGTGCCTGACGCAGGGACACTGGCCTTTCCACCCACCTCAGGCCGGCGTCCGTCCCGCCCTGGACCGCGCTCGCCTCTGAGGGCCGGGCGGGCCCAGGCGTCATCGGTGCCCCACGCGGCGGCAACGCCAGCCCCAGGTGGGCAAAGGCGAAGGCCGGCCACCCACCCACCTGCCCTGGGGTGTCCGGTGTCAGAGCCCCCCGTGGAGGGGCCACGTGGGGCAGGGCCCCCACCCGCGGGCCCACAAGACACTCCATGTGCGTCCGGTGCCTCGTCCAGGGAGCCCTTTGTCACCGCTGCACAGGGTGTCCCGCCAACGGACAAACTGCCCCGCACGGCACCCCATCCAGTGACCGCTGCACCCCTGAACCTCAGCCCGAGACGCCGAGCCGGCGGCGAGGAGGAAGAGGAGAGCGAGAGCGGGCACGCGGACCGGGGGGCGGGGCTCCCGCGGCGTTCCCACGGCCCGGCGACGGGCGTGGCCGGCTCGGCCGCGGAGCTGCGGGTCCGGGAAGCGCGCCGGCCCAGCCGAGGTTCCCAGACGCCCTCGGGGGAATCCGGGGGCTGGAATCGGGGGCTGAGAAAGCGCTCACCAGCACTGCAGCTCCTGCTCCCCAGGCTTCTCAGGCACGGGAAGCTCTAGCCCAGCTCTAAAAATAGACCAGGTCCCAGACCCGAGGGCGCAGGAGGGAGAGCCTCCCGCCCTGCTCTGCGGGGCGGGGGGCCCGAGACCTGTTTTCCTGTCCGCGTTTTGATTTTTAATCCTTTCTCCGCAAAATCAGAGATGGAATCGAGGTTTCGGGAGGGCAGGGCTCCAACAGGGACGACGAGTGTTCAGGCTGCGGTGGGTGGACACAGCCGTGGGAGCAGGGACGCAGGGGCCGCCCGGCCCCTCCCTCGGGCCCTCCCTCCGGCCTGCACGGCCGGGGCCCTGGGCTCGGGGCCTCGGAGGGGCCTCCTGGGGCTCCCGGCAGACGGGGCCTCACAACCACCGTCCGTGGGCCGCACCGCCCACCTCAGCCCGGGCGGAAGCGAGCACCAGAGCGAGGGCCGGGGCTGCCGTCCGCACGCTGACCGGGCCTGGGCGGAGGGGCTCAGACACGCGAGCGGACACGCTCTCCTCCCGCTCACGGGAGGCCACGGGAGGCCACGGGGGAGGGGCGCTGGTCGGGGCAAACGCGCGTGAACAGAACGGCGTCACAGCCACAGAGGGAAGCGGCGTCACTTCCGTGACCTACACAGGGAACACGGGATGCCCCTCCGGCCGGCGTGGGCTCGGGACACACGGACGTCACGGCGGGGTCCCGCGTGCTGTGCTGGTGTCTGGCTGTGTTTAAGCAGGAACCGATCCTAGGAGCACGTGCACACATGTGTGCAGGGCACACGCATTCACACCCACACGTGCAGCATTCACACGCACACGCAGACCGCACGGCCCGTGCCTGTGTGCCCCGGGCAGCCCTGGGGCCCCCGACGCGAGGAGCCCCGCGCCCACGCTCCTCAGGCAGCGGGCGCGGCGACCGGAGCCGTGTCCTCCCCGTGGGGGCGCCCCCGCAGCCCCCCGATGGCGGCGTCCCTGCGGGTCCACGCCCCGCCCCGCTGCCCGCCCGCCCGCCCACCCGGGGCCCCGCGGGCCTGCTCTGGGGGGCGGCGGGAGCCCCCGCCCGCCTCTGCTGTGCACGTCCGTCACACACTCCGGGCCGCACGCCGTCGTCAAAACAACTGTGAAAACACACCCGCCCGGTGAGCGGCCGGGGTCGCTTTCGTGCCAGCGTTTAATGGGTGAGCCGTGAGGCCGGGGCCTTGGCGCGGGGACAAGCCGGCGGCTTCCGTGGGAAAACAACCCAGGCCGTGAGGGTCTGGCGCCAGCCCAGCGGCAGGAACAGGTGGCGCCCGCTGGTGGGGGTCCCCGCTGCACACCTGGGGCGCCTGGGGCTCGGGGGCCGGCGGTGCCCCCCGGGGATGCAACAGGGACACCCAGGGGGCAGGGTCAGTGCTCCCCCCTGGTGACATGGGGAGCGTGGTCAGGGCAGTGGCCGGCATGTCCCTCAGACCCAAGAGGGGTCGGGTGGCCGAGGGTGCAGCCAATCCAGCTGGGGCCCTGGGACAGAGGCCCGAGGCCAGCCAGGGCATTCGGCAACCTGGGGGTCCCCCGCTTCTGCTCGGGGTGCGCCTGCGAGGGAGGCCGAAGCATCGCCCCGCCCGCGGTGGCTGAGCCACAGGCGAAAGGCACCCGCAGACAGCAACGCACCAGCTCCCGTCCCGTCTGCTTAAAGCCGGTCACCGTGGGTGTTTCTGGACTCAGCGGGACAAGATGGGGGAGGTCCGGGACCGAGAGGGAGCCTCAGTCCCAGTCAGCTGGGCGGCCTGGCGCCTGCCGCTGCTTCTGGCCTTGGTTTCCCCACCGAGGCTGACTTCCCAGGCTCCGGCCAGACTCAGGGGAGGTGGCAGGTGCCACAGCTGTGAGGGTCCCCACCGGCAGACTCACCCAGAGCTGTGCACCTGTTAACAGGGTTCCCGGCCAGACCTCAGGTCCGCGGTGCCCGCCTCCGGCCGCTGTGCACGCAGACCACCTCCCGAGGGGCCCGGGGACCAGTGGGATGGCAGCCCCACGAACACACCCCATGCCCTCCCTCGGGGCCTCCCGCCCCGCCCCGCCCCGCCCCGGCGATGACTCTGGTGGGAGATGACCGGAGGGGGGGTCGGTGGGCCCAGCCCCGCGTCCTCCGGCAGGCAGGGAAGACAGAGGGGCGTGAGGAAGACAGTGCTTTCGTACTTGGGGGAACGCACTGACCCTTTATGCTTTCACACTCATTAAAAAGTCAGAGGTGGGGGTGCGCTGCCCTGCTAGGGGCGGGCAGGTGGGGGGGCAGGCGGGCACGGGGACACGTCACAGGGCGGACACGCGTCGTCGTGCAGCTGCCCGAACCCACAGCAGGTCCGGCGCCCGCGGACCCTCATGCGCACGGTGGACTCGGGGGGACGCCGGTGACAGGGTCATGCACCTCCCTCCTGGGGTTGCTAACCAAGGAAACCTCTGCTTGTGCCCCTCAATTTTGCAAGGACACAAAACTGCCCCAAAAATAGTCCTAAAAAAGGAAAAGAACCCGGTGAGACCCTGAGCTGGCCCCTCATGAGGGACCCAGGCCCCCGAGCCAGCCGACGCCTGCCACGCGGGCCGCCTGCCCGGCACAGGCGGTCTGGAAAAGCCCTTCCTCCCTCCAGCTCCGCCCGGACAGAGAGGCTCCCTTTCCCTGCGGAGAGGCTGGACCGAGACGGGGGGGAGGGGGGCTGTCGGCTCTGCTCCCCCCCAGGGAGACGCGCCTCCGACAGCCGGGCGGGCGGGCGGGCGGGCTCCGAGCCCAGGCCGGGCCCGTGGGGACACGGACCGGTGGACGTCGGGGGGCGAGGGTCCACCTGCTGGTCCCGAAGTGCAAGGCACGGGGTGCAGCCGGCCCCCACCTGCGTCTGCGCCCCCACGGCCGGCGCCCTCCCCCACACCGCACCTGGCCGCCCCCCTCCCCCGACGCCTGCCCACACCCTCCCTGAGGGCTGAGGGTCCCCGTCTCCTCCTGGGCCCCGGCCTTCCCGCTCCAGCCAGGCCCCTCTGCGTGCGGGACCCGGCACGCCCCTGCCGCAGGCTGGACGCCTTCCTTCCCCTGCAGACAAACCGCCCACTGGCCGCCCTCGCCCCGCCCAGTGGCACCGGCCCAGGCGGCTGCATAGTGGGGGCGCGGCCGGTGCGCAGGGGGCCGGGGGCTCCGGCCCAAACGCTCCGTGCGTGACGAGGGTGGATTCTCGGCTTGGCCCCTCCGGACGAGGGGCCAGCTCCGCGGCGGCGGACACGCACGGCGTCCACGTGCTGCGAGGGCACAGCCGACCCAGCGTTCCCATGGCAACGCCTCCCGGGCACAGCTGGTGTGAGAGCGGCGGAATGTCACTCCCGGGATTTCATGGGAGCCGGCGGGTGGGGCCCAGCTGCCCCCAGGCCTCATGGAGGTTCCCGCGGGCCAGCAGCAGGGAGGGCACAGCAGGGAGCCTGCTGGGGGGGGGGCGGTACCCCCCCAGCCACCACGCCCTCCTCCGGAGGTCCCCTGCGGAGCACAGCCCAGCTGCCACTCTGGCAGCGCCCGGGGCAGCGGGGCGGTCTGCCTGCCTCCTGGGGCCGGCACCTTCTGCCCCCTTTCCGCCAGGACCCCGCAGCCTCTCTCCTGGGGGAGGCCGGCCGAGGCCTCCCACCCGGTGCAGCCAGCCACCCCTGCAGGCCCCACTTCCAGGGCCTCGGGCCACTGGAAGGGGTGCTCAGACGGCCCAGGCCGCCTCCCACCCATGGGCGGCTGCAGGTCAGGCCTCGCAGGTGACGGACGCCGGGGCGTCTGAGGGGCCGGTGTGAACCCTCCACTCGCCGCTTCGAGGAAGAGAGGACAGTGGCACCAGACCTACCAGTCGGGGGGCACCCCAGCCTGCACCCTGTAGCCCCGCTCCTCACGGAGGCCCCCACCCTGCCCCTGCCCACGGGCACCCCGGTGGGAAACGGGCTCCCCAGCCAGTGCGGCTGCACGCCGGCCTGCACAGAGGCCTGCCCGTGCCGGACGAGCCGGGACTCTCCGGAGAAACGGAGCAAACGGGGTGAGAGTCGGCAGAGGTGCCCGTGAGGACGCAGCCACTGGGCCTCGGCTCCGGGCTGTGATCCCGGTGGGGCCGCCCCCGCGCCCGGGAATCCGTCCACGCCCTGCACACGCATTTCCGGTGTCTCCACCACGGCCTTGGACGCCGCTGGGGCCACATCCCCAGGAGACGGTGGGCGACGGCCGGTGTGGAGCCCGAGGCCCACCCCTGGGCTCCCAGTCGCCGGCGCCGGGCCCCGGGGCCACCTCTCAGGCCCCTCGGGGTGCAGCCAGGCGGGGACGCAGTCCAAGTGGCCAGGCGCCGCATTTTTAAAGAGAAGTAAGAGATCAGATTTTCATGGGAAACGTCCTGGTCTTCAGACATTGGCAACTCATTCGCGCAAACCTCGAAAACGCGAGCATGCAGGCAGGCGCACACCACGCCCCCCGGGCTGAGCAGCAGGGCCCGCCCCGAGGGGGCCCCACCCCAGTCCGAGCCCGCGGCTGCGGACACTGGCAGACATGCCTCATCGAGCGTCTGACTCGAGGCTCTCCCCGCCCCCACGGACAGAGCCCCGCGCTGCGGACACTGCGCAGCCCGGAGAGCGGCCCCGCTCACTGCCCCGCTCACTGCCCCACGGGGCTGCTCCCCGGGCGCCCGGCCGGGACGCAGCCCCGGGTGGAGGGGGCGCACTGGCCGCCGCAGCTGCTCGCCCCCATCAGTGACGGGAGGCGCGGTGAGGCGGCCGCGGACGACAGCCCCAGAGCCACCTGTCGCCGGCCCTGGGCGGGGGCTCACGGATGGGAAAAGTGAGTCGGGCGTCTGCAATGAGGAAACCTGGCACCGTTTCCTACAATTTAACTTTTAACCCGAGACAGTCACAGACGACACGCAGTCGTGAGAAATGACACGGCGCGATCCCTGGGGGCCGCTGCACACCCAGATTCTGAGGAGGGACGGGACCACGGCCAGAGCCCCACCCCCCTAGTCCGGCTTGTGGCCACGGGGGGGGGGGGCGCGGGGACACCCTGTCTTCGGAGGAGGCCCCTCAGCCCGCGCCTGGAAGACCACCGGTGCGGGGCCCGGGCGTGCCCCAGCTGGCTGAGGAGGATGGGGGGCGGCAGATGGCCCACCGGAGTCACGCCCCCAGGCCCCCGGCGCGCCCTGGCCGCACTCACCTCCGTGATGATGAAGAAGTCGTCACCGGGCTCCCCCTGAACCACGATCTTCTCTCCGTCTTCAAACTGGGCCGGCTCCAGGGCGTCGGCCACCGTCAGGCGCTCCCACTTCTCCAGGGACTCTGGGGGGGCGGGGGGGGGGGACAGGGGCACGTCACCCTGGCGTCACCTCGGGAAACTCCCCCAGCCCGCAGCTGCGGCGGGAGTAACCAGACAGGAGGACTCGCAGGGGAGGAGGAAGCGTGTGTCTGGGCTGGGAGGGCCCGGGGCGCACACCGCACACGGGCGCCCGCGGCTTCAGCGCGGGGCTGCCCTCCCCGGTCCCCGGTCCCTGGTCCCAGTCCCCGGTCCCCGGTCCGAGTACGAAGGTCACTTCTCTCACGCTCAGGTGACCGGCGCCGCCTGTGCTTTGTGACGGTGGAATCACAGGGGGCCGCGGGGCCGCAAAGGCTTGGAGTCACTCAGAGGGGCCGCAGCAGCAGCTGCCCGCTCGGGAGAAACACCACTCCTCCCCACTCCAGGGGCTGGGGGGGGGGGGGGGGGCGCCTGCAGCAGCTCCAGGCCCAGTGGGCCTCCCTCATTTGAGGTCAGAGCAGTGACTCCAAAGCCAAGTTCAACTTGAACGCCCAGGCAAACCCGCCGTCTTCCCACCCATTCTCACAGCTTCCCTTCCCGCGACACCCACCCGTCACCCTCAGGAGGGAAAGCACCAACGGGCTCCTTTTCAAAGAACACACGACGGCCTCATTAGCTTTCTTTATTAGCTGCTTTCTGGCGAGAGCAGCTCCCCTGGCCAGTGCTTACCAGACGCTCCTTATGTAGGTCAGCAGCTAAAAATACAAGGCGGAGCCTTTCCTTTCCAGCGGGGCTGGAGCAGGGGCTTCTCTGCTCAGACCCCCGTCCGCGCCGCCCGCTGCAAAGGCCCGGCTGCCCACCGGCTCCGGGGCGGGCCTGGGAGCCGGGGCCGGCCGAGCACCTCGCGGACGCGAGCGCGCAGCGGGTCTGCACCTTTGCCAGGCGGCGGCCGCGTGCACCTGGCTGTTACTAGAAACCCGCTGCCGTGAGCGCTCCCGTGGGTACCTCGCGCCCACGTGACGCCCTCTCGGAAGGAAGGTCGGGAACCCGCAGCGCGGAGGAGTCGGCCCCGCCCCCGCGGCCCGGAACTTTGTACCGAGGTTTCGGGCCCTCGATCCGCGTCCTGCGCGCTGTCGCTCTCTCTGCGGCCTCTGTCCCGGGCCGCTGACCCGCTGCTCAGCGCGCCCTCCGCAGCGGTCTGGGTTCTGTTTCCCTGCACGCGCCCTCTCCCTGGCTGGGCTCTCGTCCAAGCGGGACGTGGGGCGGCGTGGGGCGCGGCCGCTGCTGCGCGGAGGACCAGCCCTGTGCCCGCACTGGCTCGTCGCTCGTGGGCCCGGACCGGACACGTGCCTGAGCGGAGTGTCCGCCCGGCGCGCCCCACCCCGCCCCCAGTGGTTCCCGGCTGTCTCTTGTTCCTCGCAGCGCTGTGTTCTCAGCCAGGGGACATGCCTCACGCACAGCCCAGCAGGGGTTGCTGGGGCCGGGGCACTGCAGGGGTGCCGCCGGGGGGGGGGGGGGCTTCCCCCAGGGCTCCCAGAGCCGCCAGCCGGGCTGTCACTCCCCTGCCCCGTGGGTCCCTCCCGCGGGCCAGAGCTGCCCTGTCCACTACAGACGCTACTGCCGCCCACGCTCACTCACTCCAGTTCATCCCACGAACACGCTCTCAGCCCCGAGGGCTGCCCACAGCCGCCCTCGCCAATGCCCCGCTGGACGGGCTATGCCCCGACAGGCCCCGATGCCCCCAAATCAGCGGGAACGTCACCAACGTGTTCACCAGACCCCAGGGCGGGAAAGCGTCCTGGTGGGGCGGCACCGGGAGCGGCCAGACCTGGAGGGACAGCAGGCCCGCGTTGGGACGGAGCCCTGCCCGGCCTCCGGCACCGTTCCAGGGAAGCCCCAGCTTCCGCTCAGACGAGGGCACCGGCGGCGCAGGGCCAGGCGGACAAGCAAACACGGCCGAGACCAAGGGCGGCCTGGGGCCGAGAAACAGCGGTGTGTGTCTGTGCACACATGCACCTGAGTGTTCACACGCGTGTGTGGGTGGAGTGTCTGTGTGGCTGCAGCGTGCGTGCCCCCCCCCCCCGCCCTGTGCCGTGGCTGCGGAAGCTGCCGGCACCCGCGCGCCCAGACTGACCCAGGATGGAGACCTTGCTGAGGAACTCCTCGTACATCTTGCGCTTCCGCAGCGTGCTGCCCTGCGGGGAGAGAGGGAGACGGTGAGGCTGGCGCGTCCCCGTTCCCCCAGGACGCTGAGCTCGTCAAAGGACACCCCGAGCGCGCCACGCCCCTCTCCGGGGCCCGGAGTCCAGGGTGCTGCTGCCGGTTCCCATGCCCCGCGCCTGGTCCCCAAGACAGCACCACGGGGTCGTCTGAGTGGCCGCCCGCCAGCCCCACAGGACTGCTGGCCGTGGTATGGCCACGGAGACAGCAACCGTGATGATGGGCAATCTGAGCAGCTCCGTGAGGGCCCCCCCACTCCCTCCTGCTGGCTGGGACTCAGAGACCGTGGCTGGAGCCCCCGCAGCCGGCCTGGGCCTTTGTGAGCAGAGGTGCGAGGTGAGCAATGCTGGTTCTCCAGCCTCACAGAACCCCCCTCAACCCGCCCCAGACAGACCTGCCAGGGTTCCGGAACTGACAGGTGCAATGAGGTTTAGACCATGTTTCGAGTTTTCCCACGCCCGGTGTGGCAGCCAGCCTTGGCCTCTGCCCCCCAACCCCCCTCCCGGGAGTCCCATTCTGCGGGGACGGGATAACCAGCCCACTAAGGGCATAGTGAGGAGGGCCCGTCTGAGTCGCCCGGAGCTGCACCGGGAAGGACGGACGCGGTGGCTTTGGCCTCGGCCAGTCTCGGCGGCTCCGCCCCAGGCTGGCCTGTGGAGCAGCTGGCACCTCGGGCCGAGCACCGGCCCCCTGTGGGCGAGCCACCACACGAGCAGCCCCCCACCCGTCAGGCTCGAGGACCACAGAGCCCCGACAGTCCCCACGCTGGGCCACCCGCGGCACCGCTTCCTCTGTGGCCCGAAAAACTGTGTTCAACAAAAGTTCCACCGTTGTCACGGGCCACTCCACTGGGGGGCTTCGTGACTCGCCCACCACTGACACGTGCAGCCAACCCTAACGGCAGGGGGTGCAGAGCCCCCCGCAGGGGGCAGACGCAGCCGCTGGCTGGACGGGGAGAGACACGCCTCACGGGGCAGGAGAGGGTGGACGGGGAGAGACACCGGGAAAGAGCTCAAGGACAAGGGCCAGACAGGCAGCGCGGGGCACAGGCCGCCGGCCCCCAGACAGCTATGACAGAAATGCGACAGCGACGGAGGGTGGGCGGGGAGGTCAGCACCCAGCACTGGGGATTTTCCACGGCGGTGCGCTCCGCCCCGCACGGCGCTGCAGCTGACCTTCCCCTCGCTTCACCCGCTGGGCGCGGAGCGTGTCCAGTGCCCCCGCCCCCACGCGCCCCCCCACGTGCCCCTCGACACAGGAGCGGCGTCCGCACAGGAGGGAGGGCCGAGCCCTCGAAGTCACAGGCCCCGAGGACGCCGCCGCCCCTGCCCCCGGCCACATGTCTCAGGGCCTCCCACGGAGGATGTGCGGGCCGCCCGGCTGAGAGAGAAGGGAGCTCGTCCAGCTGGGCAGTGAGGGTGGGGGCGCCACCTGTGTCCCTGAGCCTCAGAGTGGACCCCAGGGCCCCCGAGGCTGCTGCTGAGGACGGGGCCTCGACCACCGTGTCCTAGGCTGTTGGTTGTGGTGATGAAGGGGGGATGAGGATGAGGATGATGGTGGTGGTGATGGTGGGGGTGGTGATGATGATGGTGGTGGTGATGGTGATGGTGGTGATGGTGGTGATGATGATGGTGATGATGATGATGGTGGTGATGATGGTGATGGTGATGATGATGATGATGGTGATGGTGGTGGTGGTGGTGGTGGTGGTGGTGACGACGATGACGATGGTGATGATGAAGGCAGACCATGAGAGTCTCGCACACTCTAACTCCAGTCGCAGGCTGCCCATGACCCCGAGCTCCTAGCCAGGCCCGGCCTGTCTGAGCTGCAGTGTCTTCTCCATCAGGAGGGGGAGCGTCTGGCTGCACATTCTCTGCGTCTGGGACCTGGGCGCCTCCCTCCCTCCGGGCTCTGCCTGGAAGGTTCCTTGTCTGCTGCTTCCCACGGAGAGGCAGGGATGCCGGCCCCAGGGCAGCCTGCCCTACTGATGGTGTCAGAGGGCTGTGCAGACGGGTGCTCACCGTGTGTCCGCGCCCGGCGGATCTGTCCCTGGGAGAAGTGGACGGAGGAAGCACCCCCGCCGCTGCTGCTACCGGACACTCTCTGCCCCTCGGGTCTCTCCAGGGGTGCATCGGAGAGGGGTCACAGCCTGCTCACACCCGCTGGGCTGCTACGGGGTGGGCTCAGGGCTGAAACAGGATGGCCCCAGCCCAGACTCGAGGCCCATGCCACGGAGCCCCACACCGCCAGACACGCCTCCCCGCCGCTGCGGAGGGCCCGGTGTGAGGCCCGCCCACCACCCCTCGGGGCGCCAACCTGCCTGCCAGCCTCACTCGATCGGGACGGGGGGGACTCGGCCTGGCCCCCTGGCCCGGCCTCCTCAGATCCCTGCCGCTCGCGGGGGGGGCATTTCTTCTGAGAGATAATTTACGGTTCGCAGGGACCACAGCAGTGGCGCCCCCTCGGGGGACCGCCGTCCGTCCGCTTGGGGCCGAGACCCAAGAGCTCCCTGTGAGGGGCTCACCATCTCCCTTTGCAGAAGGACGGCGGAGGGCAGCCGGGCCCCTTGGGGAAGGAGACCCGCTGCGCGGGCTGAGGGGGGCACCCCTGCAGCCGGGCTCCTGGGGTGGAGGTGGCAGGGGGCTGGGCTGGGAGCCCGGCTGTGCGGGTGTCCGGGAGGCCAGTGTGACTCCGGGGCTTTGCAGGGTGTCTGCCGGCGCCCCGTGACTGGGTTCTGCCAGGTGAAGCTGGTGCTGTGACCCCCGAGTGCGCCACAGGTGGGCGGCCTGCCCAGGGTCACAGCAGGGGAGGGGGCCCTCGAGGGGCTGAGGGGATGGGGGCTGGCCAAGAACTCGGGACATCTGACCCTCAGTCCCAGGGGCCGGCAGCTCTTCAGCGGCCTCCGCAGGGTCCCAAGACGGGGCAGTGCCCGATGGGAAGAGCAGGCAGGTACCCATGAGAGAGGCTGTGAGGGCGGGAGGAGCTGAGACAGGGCTGCCTGGCCCCGCCTCGCCCCTGGGTCGCCGGGACCTCGCCTCGTGGGCAGCTGGAGCCACAGGGATGGCAGTGGAAGGACCTGGCCCCGGCCCCACCCTAAGCCCTGCCGTGCGAGGTGTGGCCCGCTGGGCGCACCACCTGAGCTCCCGCCTGGAGCGTGCAGCACGGGGCCTGCCGGGAGGGGCGACGCCGCCCGTGACCAGAATTCTCAACCTGCAGACCTGCGTCGTCGGCAGACACCTCTGGGCCCCAGCGCCTCCCCCTCACGGCGACATCTGGGGCATTGCTGTGGACCCCGGGCATCGCCCTGGGGCAAAGGGGACGAGAAGGGTCAACCCTGCCCCGTGGCCCCACTTCACAGACAGGGAGCCGGCGGGCGGGGTCTCGGGGCCGTGGCTCAGGTGCCGAGGGTCCCAGGCCGGCGGGCATCTGGACAGCCCAGCCCAGTCTCCACCACAGGATTCCGACCTCAGACGCCCGGGTCACACGTCAGACTCAGGTGAGCACAGGGCCTGGAGCTTAGAAGGGGGGGTCGGTGGGGGAGTGCCGGCCCTTTGGGAGCAGCGGAGAGAGAGGGGGACACTCTGGGGACCCAGAGCCCGCGCTGACAGGCCAGCCGCAGCCCTGCCCCTGCGGACGCCGAGACGCCCTCCCCGGGGCCTGCGCCCGCGGGCGGCGCGGCCCAGCTCCACGCTGAGAGGGCACGGGGCGGCCCACTCGCTCGTTCACGGCGTCGACGGCCCACGAGGGCCTGGCGCAGCGCCGGCGGCCGCCCCGGGGACACACCCTGCGGCGGGCACCCCGTCATTTTCCGGCCGGCGCGAGCGGCCCTGCGGCTCCCAGCGCGGTGGAGGCTATTCTCAGCCCGCAGGGACCCCGAATTAACACAGAGGAAGCGCCAGCTGCCTCGGCGGTTTGGGAACTTCCCTGAATATAAGGTTCCAGCCACAAAAATCCCACAGCCCAGAAGGGCTCAGCCGCCGGCCGGAAGGTGGAGGGAAACAATGGCTCCTGCAGCCCCGGGGCCAGGTGCGCCCCGAGGGCGGACTGAGTGCCCCTCCCGAACCGCCCACCTGGGGGAGGGGGGGTGGAAGGACACGCGGCGGTGCGGGGGGGGGGCGGACGTGGCGGGGAGGGCGAGGGTGGCTGAGCAGGTTCGAGACCCCGCAGAGGGAGAACTGTGTCCACCGGCACCATCCTGGGCACCCGGCCTCCGAGGTGGGCGCTCAGTGGCGGGGAGCCCCTCCCGTGCTTGAACAGCTGCTGACCCCCCAACCCCTCCTGCGTCACGGCAGACCAGGAGGGGCGCAGGCAGACACCTGCCCCCTCTGCCCCCTCCCCCGCCCGCTGAGAGGCCCCCGAGCGGGGCAGCCCCAGCGACAGGCCTCCTCCAGGCTCCCAGCACCAGCTCCCAACTTCCCCTGGGACCCCCCCTTCCCACGAAAGGGGCGTCCCCAGGTGTCTGCCACCTTTTAGGAAGCTTCCCAGACCCCCCCCAGCGCACCCTGCAGCTCGTGGGGGGCTCGGGCCGGGAGCCCCGGGGAAGCGCCTGCCCGGTCACCCACCATGAGGATGCGGCGGTAGCTGTCGCGGTCGATGCCCCAGAGCTTGAGATCCGTCTTGGCCTTCACGGTCGCCGCCCTGGGGGTGCCGTAGATGAGCGCCAGCTCCCCGAAGCTGCCGCCCTCGCTGATGCTGGTCACCCAGTCTCCGTTCACGTACACCTGGGGACGCACGGGAAACGTCGCTGGGACTCGGGGGCGGGGGGCTGCACCCCAAGGGGCCCCGGAGTTGGGGACACCGCGGCCTGGCCTGAGGCCCCTGACCTGCAGGCGGAACGCCGGGTTCTCCCGCCTGGGCCTGGCCGCAGTGTCCCCGCCCCCGCCCAGCCCTGCTCGCTCCGGCCTGGGTCCTCAGAGTCCAGCGCAGACGGGACAGGCCAGGGCTGGAGGTGGGGGCTGCCCGCCCGGGGCCTGGTCTTCAGAGAAGCCGGCCCTGCCTCCTCCCGGGCGGGCCTCCCACCCAACTCCCGGCTGCGACGGGCCTCTCCGGGCCTCAGTTTCCCTGGCTGCACGCTGAGCAGTGACGACCGAGGACCTGGGGGGCATCCCTGCGTCACCCCCCCCAGGCCCTCTGCACGTGGCAGGCGCCTCCGCCCCTTCGTTCATCGGCTGCCTCCTCGTCCTCCCCCGAAGCGGCCCCTCCCCCAGCCTGTGTCTCCCCCGGGGCCTGAACTCCCGGCGCGGCGCCCCAGCACGGGCCACAGTCCACGGGATGGCCCGGCCCGGCCCGGCCCAGCCCGGCCGAGAGGGCCCCGGACAAGACCCCCTTTCAGCCGCGTGGGCGACGCCAGGCAGCGTCCCTGCTGTGCCTTCACCGCGCGGCCCCGCGGCCCTGCGGGAACGGTGCGGATTGTCCATTATGCGGACGGAGCGCCCGCCGTGGCCGGACACAGAGCTCGCTTTCTTCCCCGCGGCGTCCAGGGGCCGAAGAACAGCTCCCGTCGGCGCCCTGGGCGCAGACCAGAGAGGAGGGGCCGCGACGCGTCACAGACGCCACTCTTGTCCCAGTCAATGACTCCTTATCTGCGCCCGACGGAGACCACGCAACGCCGGCGGGGCCCCGGGCCACCACGACCGTTAGAGGGGAATGGGGACGGCGGCTGGGCCAGGCAAAGCCCCCCCCACCGGAGGAGTCTGCGCGTCCTTCCAGAGAAGCTCCGCGGCCGAGGGAGCCCCCGCCACGCCACACCGGCCCGGTGCACGGACTCACGTGCGTCCCGCCGAGGAGGGGAGCCCGGTCCCCCCTGGAGGCAGCAGGGTGCCCGCCCGGCTGTGCGGTGGACGAAGGACGCCCGTGCGGGGGTGTGGGGGGAGGGGGCGGCAGAGGGGACACGGTTCAGAGCCTGTGCCTCGCTCTCTCGGAGGGGCCCGAGCCCATGGGGAGGGGCGGTGCCGGCAGTGGTCAGTGCGCTGGGCCGGACGGCGGGCGCCTTGGGCCCCCTCTCTCAGCCGGTGCACCCACGGCATCGGGTCCGGTGAGACCCCGACCGCGGCGCCGTGGACACGTCTGTGTGCTCGAATCCCGCGTGTGCCGCTCAGCGGGTCTCTGCCTCTGAGGTGAAGCTGCGGCGTCTCTGGGGCCCTGGAGTCCGGCGCGTCACAGGGAAGGGGTGTGTGTCCCTCGACGGCCACGTGAGCCTGGGGGCCGCGGGCTGAGTCCGCCTGGGTCCACGCCCGTGCAGCAGGGGTCCGTCCCGGACTGGTGGCCCCAGGCAGGGACGCTGTGGGGGAGCCACACGCTGCGCCCTCTTTCGGGAGACACCGGGAGCGGCGTGGGTGCCGTCTCACGGACCAGTTGCCTGGGGGTGAGGGGGTCCCTAAGGCTCCCCCGCCAGCTCCCACCAAAGAGCTCGGGGAGCCAGAGCCACCCCTGGGGGCCGCGACCCCAACTTTCCACGGGGCATCCCCCGAGCGGGGTCTGGTGCTGCAGGGCAGGGTGGAGGGCCCAGGGCCTGGACAAGGAGCCGGGCGGACCCCCTTCCTCGCCAGAAGCCCCAGGAGGCGTCAGAGAAGGCCACTGTGTGGCTGCGGACCAGCCCCACAGAGCACAAAGGGCCGTGTTTCTCAGGACACTGGCCTCTGTCACCACGGCCAGCACAGCGCCCGGCCCCACCCCGTGGCGCACACAGGGGCTCCTTCTTGCTTTGTTTCATTTTTTGTGTTTTCTTCTTTTGAAAGACAAACAGTGGGAGGCTCCACTGGGCTACGCACACACTCCCACCCGCCGTTCCGCAACCGTTCCTTGGTTTGTCTGTCTGTCCGTCTGTCCTTTCAGCAGCCAAGCGTGCGCCGAGTGCCCTCGGGCTCAGGACTCTGGAAGCAGGGCAGAGCTGGCAGCACCGCCCACCTGGCCCAGCAGCTGGGGCGGCTGGGAGCTGGGGAGGCTGCCAGCAGGGGCTGGGCGCCCAGGGAGGGGGCCAGACTGCTGCCTGCGCCCCCCAACCCCCAACGCCACGGAGCAGACAGTGGGGCTGAAATGCTACCCGCACAGGCGGACGCAGGAACCAGGCTCCCGAGCTGCCCGCCAGACTGAGGCGGGCACCCCTGTGCGGCCTCTGCCCCCCAGTGCCCGCCCCCGCTGCCGCCGCCGCCACCTGGGTGAGGCAGCCACTCACGTGTGTGTCCCCAGGCGGCTGCGTGTGTTTTCTCAGGTGAGAAAAGCTAATGGCCCACCTCCTCCTCCCTTCCCGGGCTCCCGCCACCAAGGGGGGCGAGCATCTGTGCAGGTGAGCCCACACCTGGGTGCAGACACACCTGCGCCCCACGCCCCCCTGCAGGGTGTCCCCTGTGGCAGCAGCGGCTGGGCCCACCTGCTCTCGCCTGCCGGTCCAGGAAGCCCCACCCCTCACTCTGCTTCCCACCGGGTGAACCCAGCCCCCGCCCCGACGGCTGAGAGCCCAGCGCACCTGGTGGGGGAGGGGCTCACTGGCTTGGTCTTCGCCTGAGGTGCAAGGACGCCGCCCGTGGAGCTCCCGTCCGTGGCACCTGGACCACGTGGGGTGGCCGCCCGCTCGGGCTGCGGCCACAGCCGGGGCGGCGGTCGGCCGGGCGGCCAGGCGGCCAGGTGGTCTCCCTCCAGCGGAAGCCCACACCCACCGCGGCTCAGGCCCCTCGCCAGCCCGCCCCGCTGGCCCCAAGGGCACAGAGGCCCCTGCAGGGCCTGGGGAGGGCAGCCCGGGGCGGGGGCGGGGGGGGGCGCTGAGCTGCCAGAGAGAGACTTCACGGCGGTTCTTCCGGGCCACGGCCACTCAGTTCACGGGGCGATGAAGCAGCAGACGCCCCGAGATCAGGGGAGAGATGCCCACACACCCACGTCCACGCAGAGCTGTTCGCCACAGGCGGCAGGTGGAAGCCCCCCCACCGCCCCGGGCACCGCAGAGAGTGGACAGAGGAAATGCGGGCGACCGCTCGGCCTTAAACAGAAAGGGGACGCTGACCCACCCAGTCACGTGGACCGACCTGGAGGCCGCCACACCGAGCGACCAAGGCCAGACACGGGGCGGTGGGGGGACAGGCACGGGGGACAGAGACGGGCGGATCCCAGCTCCGCACGGTCGGTCCCTGGAGTCGCAGGGTCACGGGCAGGGAGTGGGGGGGTGCGGGGCAGGAGGCGAGGGCAGGGCCATGCTCGTGGGGCCGGTCTCGGCGTGAGAAGGTGGAGACGGCCCGAGGGGACGGCGGCGAAGGCCGCACGACCGTGGACCGTGCTCCAGGGGCCACATGAGAGCCGTCGGCACAGTGGACTCCCGCCCACTGTCACTCCTCCAACTGCAACGGAGGTCCCGCCCACTGGCACCCTGTGTGTCTTCCCGGGAGGACGGAGCCCAGCGCCAGGCAGACACCAAGGGACGGGACGGCTGCTGCAGGCTCCGCGGCCTCGCTCCCACCACTCCCTCCGTGGAGGCCGGAAGGCGCTGCCCCAGACACCCCGGCGGGCGGGGCCACAGGGAATCCGGGGCGGGAGCCCGGGGCAGTGCGCCCCGGGCCCACAGGGCGAGGGCGGGAGCGGGCCTCAGACGGAACTGCCTCCGGAGCCCGCGGGGCTGGCAGCCGAGCGCCCTTCCGAGCAGAGATGCCACGTTCCCGGAATAAAACAAATTGCAGATATTTCTGTGCCTCGGAGAAGGATCGCAGCTCCAGGCGACACACCCCCCGGCAGGCGCACTCACCGTCTCTGGGAAACCGGCATTTAGACCGGGCCTGGGGCTTCTGGTGAGCGGGCACCTGGCCGAGACCCAGGGCCCCCAGCCTGAGGGCAGCGTCCACTCCACAGCAGGGACAGTGCCCAGGACGCCCAGACCAAGCCCCGCTCAGGGCCGGGGGGGCCCGGGGGGGGTGTCCAGACACCGGGTGGGGGCAACAGGGCAGACTCGGGGTCTGCCCTGCGCTCCCCCACCCGAGGGAGACCAGGCCGGCTGCAGCTGCACGGCCCCCTCAGCCCTCACCGTCCCCGTGTCCCCACCACCCTGCCCCCCGGGAAGCACCTGGCAGGAGTGGGCCCCCCCCCAGGGCAGCGCCCCGGCCTCAGAGAAGCCGCTGGACTTCACGCCCGGGGACAGTGACACTGGTGACGACGGAACAAGCGTCCCTGTATTCACCCAGAGCCAGCCTGCCACTCCCCCCCGGCGCCTGACCCAGCAGCTCTGATCCTCCAGGTACGGCTCCACCAGCACTACCACCTGCGTGCCCACCTGCGCCCGGCTGTCCCCCGGGAAGTCTGGTGGCCCTGGAGGGCTGTGTGGCCCCGATGGGCACCGTGGGACAGCCCCGTGTGCCTCCGGCGGTCCCACGTCCAGGACGGCAGCCGGGACGCAAGGGTCTGCGCAGACACCCTGGCCTGCTGAGGCTGGGACTGGGGGCAGGTGGGCCTGCCAAGACCACACGTGTAGGGAACCCCCAGGTGTGAGGGGGCCTCGGTTCCCTCGTGGAGTGCCTCCCTGTGTCCCCTGGCCCAGAGAAAAGCCAGCGTGACAGCAGGGACCGGGGTGATGAGCGGGCAAAGCAGCCCCTCCCACCCTGGGTTTGTAGGCAGGCGGAGGAGGGAGGGTGCAGGGGTGCGGGGGGCTGCGGGGGGGGAGGGGCTCTCGGTCTACAAGGAGTGCTGACCCGCTGGGCCTGAGAACGTGAGCTGGACACAGGAGGGGCGTGTGCGGCCAGGGCCCTACTCCACGGGAAATGGCCCCGAACTGCAGCACAACCTGCACCTCAGCCCCGAGGCCGGACCCCCCTGGGGTCCGGGAGCTGGAGCAGACGGCGGCCACCAGCCTCTGCCGACGGGAGGCTTTCCTCTGGGCAGGAGGCGGGGAGACGGGGTGGGTTTGCCCAGCAGGCGGTGGGACAGGCCGGAGGACAGAAGGGCACCACCAGGGAACCGAGGGGGACAGAGGGCCCCAGCACCCCCGCCCGGCACTGGGAGCTCACTCAACCAAGGCGGCTGGGAGCGCAGCACCCAGCCCCGGACGGGAGGGCTGCCTGCCCGCGCGGGCCACGGCCTCCTCCCGAGACCCGACGCCGGGCCCTCAGGCTCCTGCAGAGCAACGGTGAGGAGCTGGGGCACGAGGGCGCCTCCCTGTCTGCTCCCTCGGGAGACCCGGGTGGGACGGGCGTTGCCCACTCTCACGGCACCCAGCCCGGGGTAAGTCGGCCACCTGCAAGTGGAGGGCAGGCCCCGCCCGTCACGAAGAGGGGAGTGGAGGGGGGCGGTGTCAGGGTCCGGGCCTGCGTGGGCTCCCGTCGAGGGGGGACAGCCTGGTCCCCCAACATCAGGGTGGCCGGACAGCGGCGCCCGCAGGGCTCTGCCTGGGCTACGGGGGCTCCCCCGGGCAGAGCGGAGACCAGAGACCGAGGGGGCTGGAGGGTGAGGACGGGGCGAGACCTGCACCCTGACCTCCTGCTTGCCGGCTGGCACACAGCGGGCGCTTGGGGGGCCCGTGGGCGCGAGGAGCGGGCACGGGAAGGGCAGAGCCGGGGTGCAGGGAGGGCAGGGAGGGCCAGGAGGCGTCCCCGGTGCCAGTGTCCTGGTGGGGATGGCCCGCAGCCGGGGCCCGTCCGTCTCCTCTGCTTCCTGGGCTGGTGCTGCCGTCCTTTCTCCTCCCGGCCCGGGGGAAGCCGGGGGCAGGCGCTGACCGTGCAGGCTGGCAGTCTGAGCCCAGCGTGGGGACCTCACCCGCGGTCTGGGCCTGCCCCCTCCGCGCACTTCCTCCACGGCCCTTGGCCCCTGCCTCAGTCTCCCCCTCTGCTCCCCCTCAGTCTCCCCCTCTGCCCACCCTGCCCCAGGCAGGAAGGCTGCCCGGTCCCGGGCGGAGGTCAGGAGGGGCAGGGATCAGGACTCCTGTCGGGGGGGCCGGGCCCTTGGCCTGGTGAGTGACCTCCCAGCGAGATGCAAGGGTGAGTCATTTCCTCCGCTGCCGCCTCCGGAAGCCGAGGGCCGCCTGCCCGGTTCCCAGAACCCAGCGGCAGAGGACACAGATGGCCGCTCGGGAGACAAACAGGCCGCGTCCCCCAGAATAGCGCGGCCGGACCGGAGGCGGGGCCCTGAAATACCCGGCCGGGGCGGCACCGCCGGCAGCGGGGGAGCCGGGGGCCACCTGGCGGGGCTGCCGGGTGCCCGGTCCCAGGGCCAGTGTCTGAGGCCTGGGGGTGACTCAGGGGCCAGTCTGGGGTCACCAGACTCCTGGGGCCTCACAGACATGTCCCCACTGCGCCCTGGGGCCACGGGCCCCCGAAACACCAGGGTGGGCTCCGCCCCTGCCCTGCGGCCCCATCGGAGGACGTGCACCCAGTGCATCTCACCCGTGGGAGACGCCCACGACCTCTCCGGCAGGGGGCTGGCCCGACCCCAAGGCAGGTATCGGAAGGACAGCAGCCCCACACCAGTGAGGGGCCCCAACCCCGGGAGACACAGCAGGGCTGAGTGAGGGCGGGAGAGAGCGACACCCACTCAGGCCAGCGGTGCGTTCGCGCCCAGCGCGGCCAGTGACGCCTGACGCATCTCGGCCACCGGCCGGGGCGGAGTCCGGTCCCAGGGACCCACGGGCCCGCACCCAAGACGGCAGACGAGTGAGCCCCAATTCCTTTCCGTGCCTGTCGAGGGGACTGGACCGCTCCCGGGGCCAATGCGTCAGAAACGTGCCCCCCCCCACCCCCGGAGAGGGGGGTCTCTCTGGGCCCGGGCCTGTGGGTGCCCTGGCGTCAGGCAGAGCAGGACAGGTCTGCGCCCCCGAGTTCTGGGACCAGCGGGGCGGTACTCACGTCCACCTCTCCTTGGTCGATGACGTAGAAGTTGTCGCCTTCGTCCCCTGAAACCACAGAAAAGGCACAGTCTGCGCCACGCCAAGGACGCGGAGGCCGCCCGGAGCCGCTTCCTGCCCCGCGCCCAGAGCGCCGGCCTCGTCTGCTGGCCGGAACTCGTCGAGTGAAGGTGGTGGACACTGCAGGCGGGGCGCCACATGGCGGTGTGACGCGGGGGCTCACGGGGAAATCACGCTGGGCGGCCCACGCACACGGTGCCTTCTCAGGGCGGTCGCCACAGGTGACGGCCACCCCCGAGCCTGCCCGCCGCCCCAGCCCGTCCCCGGGGCCGGTGCCGCCGCCCGTGGTCCGGAGGCGAGATGACCGAACAACGTGGTGTTGGCTGGTCAAGCAGACCCTTCCCGCACTCATTGGTGACTCCTCCCAAAACGCGCGAGGAGACGGTCGCGCGAGCAGTTCTCCGTGGGGAACTCTCTCAGCGAACTGTCCCCGGGGCGCACAGGGACGCACCTTGCTGGATGACAGTCTCCCCGGCGATGTGCGTGACCGGGAACATGGCGTCAAATATGTCGCTGAAAAGAAGACACACTGGGTGTGGGCCCTGCGGGGGCCCCGGCCTCGGACCCCAGTCCCTCCCCTCCCCCCCCGGACCCAGTCTTGTGGGAACAGGGTCACACTCACGGGGGCGGGGAGGGGGGAGGGGTCACAGCTCCCCAAGTCACGGAAGCACGGAAGACCCTTGGCACCCCGCTGCCGCCGCCTGCTCTGCGCCCGGACGGGTTTGCTGTTCGGGTTTCACAGACACCGGGTGGCGCCTCGTGCGTCGCCCTGGACTCCACTCAAAACAGAGTGACAAGAGGCAGGGGACCCTTCTCGCGTCCACGTGGGGGGCTTGGGGTCCTTGTGGTTTTAAGCCGAAGTCGCTGACGGCGGCCACGGGGCCACTTCCAGGGACAAGGAACTCGAGCGTCAGCACCTGCGGCCCCTTTGAAGTATCGTCGTGAGAAATGTCAGACGCCGGGGGCGCAGGGGGGGGGGCAGGGGGCGGAGCCAGGACGCAGGCTTCTGCCCGCGGGGTGGCGGGGAGTGGAGCCGGACGCCCACCCGGGGCCCGCGGCGCATGCGCACCCACGGAAACGGGCGGGGGGGGATGATGAGGGCGAGAACCACGTCGACAGGACGCCCCCCCCCACCGGGTGCAGAGATGGGCCCCAGGCGGCCAACGTGTGCTCCCGAGGTCGGGGGGCAACCACATGACACCCCAACTCCCGCACTCCCTGCGGCCCTCGCCCCGAGCCTGGCCCGGCTGCTGCTTGGACCTGCAGCTCAGAGAGACGCTGAGGAAGGAGGCGGCCGGGACCTGGGGCAGGGGCGGGGCGGGGGCGGCCACCCTGGGGGGAGGTGGGGGTGCCCCAGACCCGGCACCCCAGTCTCCATGTAGGATCTCCCACTGTGGGGTGGGGTCTTCCCACGCTTTCCCGCCGGCTCTAAGGTTCCAGTGGTTCTCCCTGAACACTGGAGACTCAGGCCGTGCGTGACTGACTACCGTGAAATCTTTAAACAAAAAATGTGGGCCTCCAGCTTCTCTGGAAATATCAGCGACCCGGCCACCCGGGCCCACGCCACAGGGCAGAGGCCACCGAGCTGGGTCCCCGCCCCCCGAGGCCGGGCCTTCCCGGTCGGCCTGCAGAGACTCACAGGCCTCTCCCCCCGGGGGCCGGGCCTCGGGGTCGGGGGAGGACCCCACTGGTGCGTGGAAATCGGGGTGCCAGGCGCAGGCACACCTGAGCCCGGCTCATGGCCACCCCCACCAGCTGCATGTCCAGCCCCCCGCCCCCCGAACGCAGGCCTGGAGCCCAGGACGCTTCCCAAGGACAGCTGCCCAGCAGCGCCCTTCTCCCGGCCGGGACGGCGGCAGGCAGGGAGGGGGCCGAGGATGGACGGCCCCTCAGCTTCCGGGAGCTGCACAGGCGGGAAGGGGGTCCCAGGCGCGGCCCCGCCCCCCAGCAGGCCAGCGGCCGAGCCTTGGTTTCCCCCCGTGGACGGTGCTCGGGCTCCGCGCAGAGCGCACTCCTGAGCGGCCCCAGCACCGTGGCAGCCGGCGGGGGGGGGGGCATGTGCTCCACCAGGGGCCACGCCCCAGTGTCCCCCACGCCCGGGGACCTGCCGACCCCACCCCCTGCTCCTCCCACTGGGCGGGGCGTCAGCTGCCAGCTGGTCCTGGACACCCCGCCTCCCCAACCGGACCGGCCCCTTACCCCAGCCAGCTCCGCCCGTCTCCAACAGCTGGGGCACAGTGACCCCAGGTGGCCAGCACCTCCAGCCGGCAACGGCCCCGGGGTGGGGGGGGACAGCACAGACACGGAGTTCAGAGGACACAGAAGCTCTGGGGGGAGGGGACCTCCCTCTCTCTGCATCTCTGTCCCTCTCCTCCGGCCGCAGCGTGGCCACCACCCCGCCTGCTCCGACCTGCCGCAGCAGCTCTGGCCGGCAGCCGGAGCCACCGTGAGGAGACATGGGCAGAGCGTGGGGGCGGGTGGGCCATGTCCTCCAAGCCCTGAGCTCCTCACAGGGCCCGCAGGAAAGCAGGGACTCGGCAGGTCCTGCCCCCTGCGGGGCGGGGGCCGGGGCAGGTGTGGGGGGGGTCGGGTGGCAGGACTGGCCAGGACAACCGGGAACCAGGACGCCCGGGCTCAGCCCCCAGCTCTGCGGCCCATAGGCTGTGGCCGCCACCCGAGCTGCCCACTGCCCCAGTCTGCTCCACCTGCACGCTGAGGCCGTGACCCCGCCCCCTGAGGCTGCCGTGGGGGCAGAGCACCCACGGGTTCCAGGGCCGGGGCCACTGTCTGCCTCCCGTCACCCCCAGCGCAGGCGGAAGCCGCAGGGGGAGCGGGCAGAGGGCCGCCCCCACCAGGCCGCCCCCCCCCTGGGAAGAGAACCCCCAGACGCAGCAACCACAGCCCCATACATGCAGGTCGACTGGACTCATCTAACCCTGAAGTTTTGTGCTTTAAAAGGCGCCGTCGGGAAAGCAGAGAGGTCACATGCAGGCGGGGAAGGCGTCTGCGAGCCGCGTGTGCTGGAAAGTGGCCCGGGACACGCAGAGCCCTGTCCGTGCCGCAGGCCAGGGCACCGGGAGCTCAGAACGTGAGCGGGAGGTCCGCACGGACCCCACCCGTGGGAGGCGCGTCCCCGCCCGTGGCAGCAGGGACGCACATGGGAAAGCCGGGCCCACGGCGGCGACTGGACTCCAAACCGTGCCGGCGCGGGCAGGGGCGCGGAGACGGGGCTGGCGCGGCGTCCCCCGTGGACGGACGGGACCGTCGGAGTGGTGGTCGCTCCGGACAGCAGGGGCTTCTTTGACGGGAAGCAGCGCACGACCCAGAAACCCCAGCGTCAGGAACCTGCCCCCAGGGCGGGGGGTGGGGGGACCCCGAGCGCGGCTCCCTCCTCGGCCGGCTCGGCCCCCCCACACCGAGGACTCTGTGTCCACAGTCGAGAGGCAGCAGCACTTCCTCACGTCGGGAACCAGGGCCGAGTCGCTGGGGTGAGGGCCGGGGAGGGGAGGGGGGCTGAGGGCCCGCCCCGGCGGCCTGCTCGCCGCCCGGGCAGCTGCACCGGGCGGCGGGGCCTCCCCCCCCCCCCCACCCCGACAGCTGCTCCCGAGTCAAAGCGCATCTTTGTTTCCCGCTCTTGGCAACTGTTGCTTTCTCTGAAGGACGAGCGCGGACCAGCTGTCCGCCCGCCCGCTGGGCGGGGTGGGTCTTCGGAACCGCTCGGGGCGGGAAGGGGGCACGGGCCCCGGGTTGGGCGGGTCCCGCCCCTGCTGCCCCTGCCACCGGCCCGAGGGCCACGAAAGGCGGTCCTGAGAAGGCGAGACCCGGACACCGGCGACACACGACCTGACGCCCGCCGTCCGTCGGCAGGCAGGGGGGTGGGTGGGCGCGTGGCGGGGTCCAACCGCGGAGTGGAGGACCCTCGGCCTTAGAGGGAGGGAGGAAGGCGCACCCACCACAGCCTGCACGAGCCCCGAGGACCCCGGGCCTGGAGAAGCGGGCTGGGCGCAGAGCGGGCGCACACTGCCCGACCCCCCCCCCCCCGCGAGGTCCCCGCGCGGCCGAGTCCACAGGGACGGCAGGTGGGGTGGCCCGGCCGGGGGAGGGGCGGGGGGGTCCCAACCGAGTCTGAGTGGGGGCAGAGGGCGTTCGTTCCGCCGACGGATGGGGCGGCGGCGCAGACACAGACGGTGTGACCGTGCTCGCCGCCCCCTGAAGGGGACACCCAGCGCGGCGGCCGGTGGGCTCTGCCTCGTGCGCGGTGTCCCAGGAGGGCAGTTCCGGGAGAACGTGAACCCTCCGCACGGCCGAGGAGCGCCCTGGACCCCGCAGATGGGCGACCCCGGGGGGGGGAAGCCCCCGCCACGTGTTCAACCTCCACGGCCGCCGGACCTCACTCGTGCGCAAACCACCCGAGAGAACCCGACCCGAGAGAACCCGCAGGGAGAAGAGGACCAGCCGGCGGACGACAGCGAGTGCAGGGCCGGTCGGGGGACGCGCAGCCCCACACAGAGGACCGCACAGATGTGGGGGGGGCCACCCCCACCCCGAAGGGCCACAGGACTCACCCCCCAGCGGACCAGCCGCACAGCGTGCAGCCCCCCCGCCACCCTGTGTCCCTGCCCCGCACAATGTGCCCATGTGGCCCCTGCTCAGAGGTTAGCAGTGGGGGGCCGGGGGGGGGCGGGGCGTCACCAGAGAGCAGGGGCCCCTGAGCACAGAGCCCCGGGTGGTGCAGGTCCCGCCCGGCCGGGTGCCGCCTCCCCGTGAGACGGGAGAGTGAGCGAGGAGGGCGGGGGGCAGCCACGGTGCAGCCCACGCCGCGGGGCCACCTCCGACACGTCTCTCCACGTGCTCGGCCAGCCCCTGCGGCCCCAGTGCGCAGACGCCTGGGAAGGAACAAGGGCGTGTCCCCGGAGAAGGCACCAGAAACTGTCACCATGCGGGGAGACCAGGGCCCTTCCGGTTGCTTCCTGCACATTAAAAAATAAAACCAAAAAAGCCCACACTAAACACCATGGCTCCCCACGGGGCCTGCAGCCCCGGCCCGAACTCAGCTCGCCGGCACCGGCTCGCCGCACCGCCCACACCTCGGCTCCCAGCGCGGGCCGGCCGGGACGCCCCCTCGGCTCTTCCCGCCACACCGGGCGGCGCCCGGAGACCGCACACCACCACACTCCGGAGGCTTTGAAACGCTGCAACCCCAGGCCAGACCCCCGCAGGCTGCCCGACGGCGGCCCCAGGGCGGGGGAGCCCCGAGTTCTTTCTCTCCCGACCCCCCGGCCCTGCGCGTCCTGTGGCCTCGGTGAGCGAGTCCCGGGAACCCTGCCCCCCACGGACTCCGTCCACAGGCCCAGCGCCGCCCCACCCTAGCCAGGGTGCGCACCCCAGCCTCTTGCAGGCCCAGCGGGGGGCCGTGGGCAGTGTGCCTCCCCGCTGTGGGCCTCCCTGCCCAAGGGCGCTGGGACGCACCGGCCCGCGCCGTCCCAACACGAGGGCGGCCCGAGGCTGCAGGCTGGCTCTGCCCACGCCGGGCGGGCCGGGGCCGCGGATCCCGGCCTCCCACCCGGCACGTGTCCACACGCCCCAGGCCCACGTGGCTGCGGTCTGCGAACCTCGAGGTCTCTGCCCAGAGGGAGCCTGGCTCCGTCCAAAACGAAAATCCAGTCTCCGCGTGTTCAAGCCATCAAGCACCCCCTCCACGCAGCCCTGTGCTGTCCCAGACGCTAACTCCGCTCTCCAGCCCTGCGGCAGGGAGGCGTCGGGGCCGGGGCCGGGGCCCCGCTGGGGGGCGGGGGCGGGGGGGGGGGCTGCGAGTGAGCGCACAGACCGCGTGTTTTTCCCATCACCTGGGGGGGCCCGAGCCCGTGTGGGGGAAACAGGCTGCGGAGACACTCGGGCGAGGACGAGAGGACAGACAACAGGACACAGCTGCGCGGGAGCCGGCCGCAGCCAGAGGCCCCTTCTAATTAGAGCCACAGAGAGCCGGGCAGCGGCCGGGGCGGCCGCAGGGCGAGGCGCCCTCCCCGTGTGCTTCCCCCTAATCGTGGCGCCCGGCTCCCGGGGGGCGGGGGAGTGCACTGGTCTCGGGGGCCCCGGCCGGGGCACGCCCGGGAGGGAGCGGAGTGAACCCGAGGGCCCCCAGGTCCCCCCACCGGGCCGAAGTCGCGCCCTTGGGGCCAGGCCAGATGCGCGGCTCATCTCAGGGCTCCGGCACCCATGGGCCACCTTCCCCTGGTCAGCGTCCCAGGAAGGACCTGTGTCCACCTTTGCTCAGCAGCTGACCCGGCGAGGAGGCTGCACCTGCCGCCTCCCCAGCTGCTCCCCTGGAGGGACTCCCCTCGGCAGAGGGGCCGTGCGGGGCCACCCAGGCACGAGGACAGCCCGCTCCAGCCCCAGCTGGGACCGGTGCCGCCTGGCTGGGAGCAAGGGGCGAGGGGTGTCCCCTCGCTGGCCCCAGAAACCTCCTCCTGTCAAGGGAGGCAGACACAAGCCAGCCCCAGAGCCTCCCTGCTGGGTCGTGGGCCCCAGAGCAGCCCGCTTGCCTTCCCCGGTCCCAGGGTGGGGCAGAGGGCAGCACCGGGGAGTGGCCTTGGGGACCCGCAGGCCCTCCTCACACGGAGCACTGAGGCCAGCTGTTGGGTCCCTGTGGACGGCTGGGCCAGCGCCGGGGGGGCAGAGCGGCAGCAGGGAAGAGACCCCCTGACCCCCTCTACTCAGCCAGAGGGTCTCCAGAGAGATGGTGGTGGTGATGGTGATGGTGATGATGATGATGGTGGTGGTGATGGTGGTGATGGTGGTGGTGATGGTGGTGGTGGTGGAGGTGGTGGTGGTGGTGGTGATGGTGGTGGTGATGGTGGTGGTGGTGGTGGTGGTGACGTATTCACGGACACGACTGCACTCTGTCCCCACGGAAGCCCCTGAACAGGGAGCGTCACTCCCACGTGACACCTGGGGACACCAAGGCTCAAATGATTTCATCGCTCAACTTGTAAATCACATCGCACTGCTGGCTCCTCTCCAAAGGCACTTCAACACGCCTGGAATCAGGCAGTGAGTGTGAGTGGTGTGCGCATGTGTGTGTGCGATGCATGTGTGTGTATGTGTGCGCTGAGTGCGTGTGCAGGCGTGTGTTTAAGGCCGCTCCAGCCCCACCCTCGGAGCACCCCGGGCTCCCGGTCCTCGCTCACGCCCACGGCCCAGCCGGCCAGAGCCTGGGCCCCGCAGCCTCAGGCGGCCGAGACACCAGGGCCCCCACCTGTCCTCACGTGGAGCCCGGAGACTCCCGGTAGAACCCTGGCTTTGCCGAGACAGCCGGCGCGGCCTTGAGCCGGGGACGGCCCTCCTCGCTCGCACAGGGGGAAACCGAGGCTCTGGACCGTCCACACGAACCCCGAGAGAGAGAGCCTCTGACAGGCGCCACCCAGGCGCCACCCAGGAGCGCGGCCGTCCTGCGAGGGGCGGCACCCCGGGGACGGGGCTCGGCCGCCCGCAGCGGGGCCGCGTGAACGTGGGGCCGCCGTCTCCCCAGGCCAGGCGTCGGCCCCGGGAAGCAAGGACGGCCCCGAGGGGAGACACCGCGTGCTCACGGGAAGGAGTGACGCGACCGGCCCGTGGCGGCAGGTCCTCTGTCTTCAGCCTGAATCCAGCGGGAGGGCAGGGGGCGCTGAGCAGAAGGGTGTACCCGCCGCCCCCGACCCCCCGCCGGCGTGGGTGCGTCTGCAAAGGAACGTCCTGCTGGGGATGCGGAGGCGGCGGCAGCCTCAGTCCCGGGGGCCCGGCGCCCTGCCCACTCGGAGAGAACAGCGCAGCCCAGCCCAGACAGGGCGGCTTGGCCGGCGGCGGCGAGAGACCTGGGAAAGCAGCGCTTCTGGAGGCCGCGCGGGAGATGCCACGTGAAGGGTCGCAAGGCAGGCCGCTGCCCGCCACCTCCGGAGCCGTTTCCTGGACCGCTGGCCCGTCCCTTCGGGGGCCGTGGCCAGGAAGAGGCGCCCGCGGGGGTTTCGGGTGGAAAGTGAGCTTTCCCGTGTACACAACAAAAGGTCGGGCGCACCACAGGCTCACGTGAGAGCTTTCCCTCCACGCCAGCCCACCGGCTGCTTCCTCCACGTCTGGTCCACCGGGCTCTCCGAAAGGACGGCCCGCGTCCCGCAAACGTGAGCCAAGTGGTCTCTCTCAGCGGGCGCGCGGGCAGGCGGGCCCTGAACTGAGACTCTCACTGGACCAGCTCGTGCTCGGGGCTGGCCAGGGGTCGAGGAGTTTGCCCTAAACACAGCTGCCCCCGGAGGGAGGGGACCCCCGGCTCACAGGGAAGGGGGCCCGGCCGTCAGCTGCGCGTGGAGTGACCGTCCGGCCCCCCGCACCTCCACTGCAGGCGTGTGCCCAGGACCGCGCCCGCAGCAGCAGATTCAAGTGGCCGAGAGGCACAGACGACCCGGCACCACCAACCGACACGTGGACGGGCCCGGCGTGGTCCCCCTGTGCCTCGGAGCATCACCCCCCCAGGAACTCGGACACACACGGCACAGGTGGGCCCTGGGGTCGTCCCGCTCGGGGAAAGACGCCGGTCACGAAGGTCACACGCTGTGAGATTCACTCCCGGGAAAACGCCTGAACCGGGAACCCCACAGACACAGAAAGGGGTCACCGTACACCCAGGGCGCACCCCCTCCGTGAGTGGGCACCACCCGAGGGCCTGGCCGAGCTGGGCCCGTCAGTCCCCACCCCTCGCCTGAGGGCCAGCCTCGGGGTGGAGTGTGGACGACGGGCTGTGTGGCCAGGGCCACCGGCGGGAGCAGGGACCTCCGCCTGAGGGTGGGGGGCGTCGGTCTGCAGCAAGGCAGCCGGGCGCCGGGAGGAGCAGCCCCAGGCAGTCTGCAGACAGCTGGCCGCCCCCTCGGGCCCGGCCACCTTTCGGGTTTGCAGCCACGTGGGGGCAGCGCCGCCCAAACCACACTTGGGAGGGACGTTCGTCTTCCAGAGGAAACAGTCACCACAGGCAAACGTCTGAGGACAGACAGAGGGTGGGAGCGGGTGGGCCAGCCCCCCCCCCCCAGGGAGCTCAGTGCAGACACGGTGCCGCCGGGCACCGGGGGACGCGGGACAGACCGCCCGCGGGGATCTGGGCACCGGAGGTGGGGGGCTTCCCCAGGCCAGGCCTGCACGTGGCGGCTGCAGGTGCGGCCCGAGGGGGGGGTGGGGGAGCGGCGCCCGGGAGTGCGCTGCCCCTCCCGCTCAGGAACCGCCTCTGCTCTGCGACACGCGTGCCCCCCAGGCAGCAGGCACCGCGACCCACGGCCGTGACCGGGACCCGCGAGGCCCGGGAGGGGCTGTCGGCCCCCCCCGCCGCACCCCCCAGGCTCCTACCTCCTCTCGTTGTCGTCCAGGTGAGCGAACAGCACGTTTCTGGAGATGGCCTTGGCCAGCGCCGTCATGGTCTTATAGTCCTTGGGGATGACCTGCGGGGAGGCGGCGGTCAGGCTTGCGGGCGGGCACCCCAGGGGCAGCGGCCTGGCCCCGCCCAGCTGGGATGGGCGCGAGCCAGGTGCCCCTGGGACGCCCCTCCGCCCACAGCCCACGGCCCGGCGCCCCGTCCGTCCCTGAGCTGGCGTGGTCACGGGGCGGCCGTGGGCGTGGAGGTGCCGACGACCTGCTGCCCGCCCCGGCCCGGGCCCCGGCCCACCTTCCGGACGTAGGACACGGCGTCCTCCTCCGTGTACACCTCGGCGCTCACGCCCCCGCGGCGGCAGCGGGCCTTCACCACGGGGTTCGGCAGCGTCGGGGAGCCCTCCTCGTCGTGCGAGTCGGACTGGGAGGCCGACTTCTGAGCCAAAATCTGTCTGTTCTCTTCCTGGGGGGCGGGGGGGGGCAGCAGAGCGGGTGAGGCCGCGGCCACCTCTGCCAGGCCCGGGGGACCGACCGCGCACCGAGCCAGGGGCCCGGGGGCCGGGGGCAGGGAGCGAGGGGAACCGGGACGCACGGCCCCCACCCCCTGCTGCCCCCCACCAAGTGCGTCCCTGGCGAGGCCAGCGAGAGTGTCAAGGCCCACTTCAGCGTCACCTCCAGCGAGCAGCCCTCCGGCCCCCTTCCTCCCAACCCCCCACCCCCCATAAACGTCTTCCTTCCGGCCTGTGACCCTCCCCACCCGGGGGCGGAGCCGCAGCCGCAGCCGCAGCCCCGGGGGAAGTGACGGCCGAATGTGCGGTGGACGAGTGGACGGACGGACGAAGGAGAAGGAAGGACGGAAGGAAGGAACGGAGTCAGGACAGGCGCTGGAGCCCCGGGAGGCACAGGGTTCGGAGGTCGCGGCCACCGACCACGAGCCACCGTGTCAGCGGCTGGGACTCAGGCTCGGGGCCTTGGGGCAGGCGCCACGGCTCCGCCACGGCCTCTGGGCCATCCCCACCCCCAGGGCGGGGCCCCAGGTCGGCGGCCGCTGAGCGCGTCCGGGGCCGAAGGAGCCGCGAGCAGGAGGTTCCCTGAGCAGCTGGGCAGGTTCCGAAGGTCCGCAGATGCGGCCACTTGGAGCCCCAGAGATGGTGCTGGGGGGTGGGGCACGGTGCCCTGAGACCACCAGAGGCCACCTCCGGGCCTCCTCCTGGGCCAGCGGGCGGCACCTGTCCCGGCCCAGGGACGGGTTTCTGTCTCTGGCAGCAGGGGGTCAGCGCGGGCAGGACGCAGGCGGCTCCACACGGCAGGCCCGGCCCGGACAGTGACTGTGTGTTTTGGATGGCGTCCCGTCCCCGCCCCTTCTCGGGGGTCCAGGGAAACCTGACTCTCTGCTGGCCCCCTTCCTGCCTCCTGTTTGCAGGCTGGTGACCTGTCTGAGCGGTGGGGGGGGGGGGCGGGGCTTTCCCGGCCCAAGGACTCTCCACAACCACCGCGTGGGGACCCCATGGGGACCCCGTGGGGACCACGTGATCTCAGAAAGCACGAGGCCGGCGACCCCTCTGGCCCAGGCAGCACAGCCCCGGGGACGCCCCCGTGGGCCCCCTGGCCCGTGAATGGCGGTCGCTGCCTTCTGACCGCGTTTTTCCCGCACAAGGGGGTGGGCGCAGACTTCCAGCAAAGGAAGGACATGGGGGGCGGGAGGGGCGGGGTCTGGGGTCTGGGGGACTCTGGGAGCTGAGATCGCCCTGGAAGACCCTGCCCCATCCGCCAGGTGAGGACACAGCCGCCCTGTCCCTGCCTCTCTCGGGGCATTCCCAGGGGCAGCCAGCCATGCAGACTGCGCACCTGGGGGGGAGGCCACGTCCTCGGGGTGCCCCCCCCGGGAGGAGGCGTCTGCACAGCCGAAGACCCGGGTCCATGTGGGGTGATGCCCGCCAGCCCCGCCTGGGACTCGCCTCCCCTGGCGGCCGCGGCCGAACAGGAAGGCAGGCCCAGGGGAAACTGAGGCCCAGGGAGGGCAGAGGACGGCGGCTGGCAGGCACACAGCAGGCGCTCGGTGAGCACGTCGAGTGAACAAACTGGTGAATAAAACCTTTGTGGGGGTCACCTGCCATTATACACCTCGAGACACCCCGACCCAAATTCCGTTTCTTAAAAAACAGCCTCAGGGACGAGGAGACGGCGCGTCAGGAGGTGCCTGCTCCGGGATGTTCTCTGCTTAAAAAGAGTTTTCACCCAACCACCACCAGCAGGAAGGTGCTTGGGTCAGTTTAGAAACATCCGTGGGACAGACCGCTTGGCACCATCAGATCATGGGTTTATCAACGTTCGGCCGTCACGTCGGGGACCGTTAACGTGTGGTCTAAAAGCCGGACAGCAGGGTCCAGAACCGCGGGCACACACCGTCAAGGGAACAGAGAGACAAGCCACACGCTGACTGAGGGGGCGTCCGAGAGACGTGCCGAGGTCGGCAGAGCAGCCCCCGGGGACACGCTCCTCCCCCCGCGTCACCAGGGAAGTGCAAATGCCACTGCACACCTGTCACGACGGCCGGGGTCCCGAGCACGGGGACGCCCGCGGGTGCAGGGACCGGGGCGCTCGCTCACTCGCTGCCGGTGGGGGTGCGGGCGGGCGGCCCCTCGAGGGCGGTCGCCGGTTTCTCACAGAACTGAGCAGACGTTCACCATGGGATCCACGGACCCCACTCCCCGGTGTTCGCCCACAAGGAGTGAGAACGCACATCCTCGCAGAAACCTGTGCACAGGTGCTTCCTTCAGCTTCATCCACGGCCACCGGAACGGGAGACCCGCCCCCCCTGGACGCCCTGCAGCAGGCGGCGGGCAAACAGGCGAGGCCCGGCCGGGGCGGGGGGCACCCTGCAGCCCTGAAGGGAAACGAGCTCTCAGCCGCGACCAGGCCGGAGGGACCCCCCAGCGCACGTGACTCGGCGGCGGGAGCAGGGTGACGAGGCCGCGTGACGCCACGTGCGTGACGTTCCGGAAGAGGCGACGCAGTGAGGATGGCGGACAGATCTGGGGTCGCCAGGGGCTGGGGGCGGGGAGAGGGGGGAACGGACGGAGCGCCGGGGACTCCAGGGCCGGGGACTCCAGGGCCGGGGACTCCGGGGCTGGAGAACTACTCTGTCGGGTCGGCCAGAAAGTCCACGTGGGTTTTCCCACAAAATAGGAGACACGTTTTTCACTTCCACCAGTAACTTGACTGGCTTGGGTACTTCAAGCATGTCGCCCGTCTCCCGTGTGGCAGAAAGGCGATTGTTCTCCACGAATGTCTCGGTTGGACCGCTGCCGACGCCAGCTGGTCTGCCCGGCCCTGGGGCACCCTCCACGCCCGGGTACAGATTTCTCCAGCGAGGACTCTCCAGCAGGGAACGTCTCGAACCCCTTCTGACACGTCTGCTCTGCCACAGCACCTTCTCCACACACCGCACAGCTCTCTTCGTGCATGTCAGTCGCATTTTTACCTTTCTTGAAATAATAAAACATCATACGCCCAAAATGTTGCATATTTTCTTCCATCTTCAATATTAAAATGGCTGCACAAAAACTCACCAATTTTGATGTGTTTTTTTTTAAATGCACGCTGATACGACAGCTGTCACAATACAATTTAACAAAACCGTTTCCCATGAAGTTAAACACAAGTTAAATGCTGCTGGAGCCATCTTGCCAACGTTTTGGCCAACCCAACATCCGATACTTTAGTGACAGGTGTGTGACATTGTGCACCTGCCAAAACCCACAGAACTGCCCGGTTGCAGAGAGTGAAGCCTGACGTCGCCTCCCCAGTCAGCAGCAACGTGTCACCGTTTGTAGCCACCGCACCACTTCCAGTCAGGAAGCCGGGGGAAGCACCATGGGAACTCAACTTGACACTCCAGGTTTCTGGAGACCCGAAACTGCTCTGAAAAGTAAAGTCTGCCAATGTTCTTTGAAAAGCACCACTTAGACCCTGGCTGGTGTGGCTCAGTGGTTTGAGCACCAGCCTGCAAACCAAAGGGTCGCTGGTTCGATTCCCAGTCAGGGCACGTGCCCGGGTTGTGGGCCAGGTCCCCAGTAGGGGGCGCATGAGAGGCAGCCACACATCGATGTTTCTTTCCTCCTCTTTCTCTCTGCCTTCCCCTCTCTCCAAAAAAATCGATTAAATCTTTTTTAAAGTATGTTTTAAAATAAATACAAATAAAGATATCACACAGGGTAAAACGTTAACTAGAGCGCAGCACAGGGAATGCCGTCCGTGCGCTGAGACGACTGCGGAGGGCGTCAGGTGCGTCCCGGAGACACGGGCGAACGCCTCACAAAGTGCACGAGCGTCTGACCGCGACGCCGCCCCCCTGAGCCTGACGCAACTCAGTGCTGACTGTAGACCGTGGCTGAAAACTGAAATCTGAGGAAAGCGAACCGCGTAAACGAACACGTGGAGGACCTGCACATCGACAACAACAAACGTTCTTCCTGCGTCGGTGGAAGAAACCGGAGGCCCCATCGCACGGAGGGGCCCCGAGGTCACCGGCTGGAGCCTTCCCTGCGGCCGAGCCGTCCGCCCCCCCAGACGGACTCACCCCCCACCCCTCAGCGTGTCCCGACCGGAACCCCAGGGGCACTGCCCGGCCGCTGCCGGCGGGGTCTCTCCGGCCCGGCCCCGGGAGGCAGGGAAATGGCGACGGGCAGCGGGACTTCGGGAAAGAGCAGAGAGGGCAGACACGGCGCCGACCCCGATGCCCACGAGAGGACACGGCCATCAGATGGGGGGGACGCCACCCTGGGGCGGGGCCCCCACGGAACAGCAAGGCCAGACCCGGCCCCGCGGCCCTGTGGCTGGTCAACGGCCGGCGGAGCGCACCCTGACTGGGGGGCGGGGGGGGCCCTGCAACACGCAGCCTCAGCGCAGAAGCGCGGGCCGCCCCCACCCACCGGCACACGGGACTGCGACTGCGGCGACCGGGCTCTGCGGACGCGGAGACGGCGTGTGCGCGTCCCAAACTGGGGAGAGAACCCGAGTCCCCGTGTGCCAGGGCTCAGGTCTGAGGTGCAGGGAGTCCTCCACCTCAGCAGGAAGGAGGCGACCTCGGGAGAGCGACGGACACCTCTCCAAAGACCCGCCAACGGCAAGCAAACAAGGACAGGGACAGATGCCGGCCGGCCGCCTCGGGGAAATGGGAAAGACACCAGCTGAGACCTCACTGTGGCCGCGCCGCCCACCAGGGGGCGCTGCTCTGGGAGACCTGTCGCTGGTCGGGGTTGCCGCCGTGGGACACCTCGGAGGTGGGACTCACACACACACCTGGGCGGTGCGGCCCTGAGCGCCTGGGCCCTACATTCTGACCTGCACAGGTCAGGCGGTGGGCTCCCTGGGCCCACACGGAGCCCCGCTGTCTCCAAGGTCAGTGGAGGGCAAAGAAGCAACCTGCCCGTGCACTCAGGGTGGGGCTGGTCCCAGTGAAGCCACACCCACACTGGTGCGTGGGCACGGCTCCCCCGAGAAATCCGGAAGGACCAGCACTGAGGGGGCGGGGGGCTGGGGGGGGGCAGGGGCGGGGTGGGGAGAGGTTTCCTTCCCCCTCTGCTCCTGAGTGGCCGGTGCAGGAACTTTGTCCACACGCCGCGGCCACTCTTCCCGCTAAAACCCAAGAGCCACCCTAAAGTTCTGCTTCCCGCTCCACTCCGACCGGGCAGGGCACCGCCCACCTCCGTCCACCACCTTATCGCCCCCACCTGGGCCTGCCCAGGGGGCCACCGTGAGCCTGGGAGCTCCGTGCCCTGAGTCGTGGTGGGACAGACAGATGGATGGACAGACAGAATGCTCCGTTACAATTTGCCCGCCACACCCTCGGGAGTTCAGTAAACCAACCCACCCGATTTATGCCTCCGTCTGCCGTCCATGGGCATGTGCCGAACCCCAAAACGGAGCTGCGGACTCCCTCGGCCTTCGGGATCGGTGACGGGAGAGGCGCACGACCGGCCGGCTCCCAGCAGGGCTCCCACAGGCCGGCCCGGGGCCCCCTGGCCGCTGTGTCCGCCCCTTCCAAAGGCGGGCGCGGTGCGGCTCGTCAGCCTCACCGAACACCTGGGAGTCAGCCCTGGATCGCGGGGTCGTCCGACCCACGATGAGGGCAAACCCCCCACCGCCGCGGGGCCCACATCCGTCCGGGAGCAGGCGCCACGCTGGCAGGGAGGGGCCGACGCAGCCGTCTTGGAGGCCACTGCCGGCCAGGACTTGGGAAAACGGTGGCAGTCGGCCACCAGGACACCGTGAGCTCCAGCGCCCGGCCCAGGGCCCGCCCGGGACGCCTACACGCAGCCTCCGTTTCCCGTCCCGCCGGCTCCTTCGCGCGAAGGCGTCTGCGGAGGAAAGGCCAGCTGAGAGCCGCCGCACGGCGACAGAGGGAAAGCGAAGGCTACGGGGGTCCACGGGAGGGAGGACCCTGGCCACAGGATGCCGTAGAAATGCCACTACGTGGGTGGGGAGCAGCGTGAACGCCACCAAACTGGACACTGAACAGGGGCCAAAGCAGCGAACCTCGAGTTGTGTTACCACAATAAAAAGGGGACTGGGAGGAAAAAGCAGACAAAACGCCCATTTTTCTGCTACAATCACCCACAGCGCTGGGGCGGGGCGGGGGCGGGGCTGCCAGGCAGGAAAGCCCCCAGGAGACGCAGGGCTGGCTGCTGGGGGGGGGGGGGCGGGTGGCCGGGTGTGTTGTAAGCAGGGACCCGCACTGAAAGGCTGGTTGGAAGGACGACAGCGTCATCCCTAAGGTCGTGACCCGGGCTGTGGCTGCCGGACGCGCTCACAGCACTTCACCCCCCTGAGCTCCGTCCGCCTCAGAGGAACTGGCCCAAGACGAGCCCCACTCACCGAGGCCTGCGCGCCGGGCGCCGGGGTCAGCAGGCCAGGGCAGCGCCCGGGCAGCCGGGCCATCGGGCCTCCTTGCGCCTTCCTGCCCACGACACAGCTTCCGGCCGGGCCCCCCACGGCCCTGCGTCCAGCCTCCGGGAGGAAGGAGCGTTTCCTGGCCCCTTATCACCGCACGGCCGGCTGGGGAGGCCCTCACAGCGGGACAGGCGCCCGTGGCGCGGGCCCCTCGGGGCCGTTAGGTTTGAGGCTCGACGGTCCTCTGAGAGACCACGGCGACCTGGACGCGCCCACCGACGCAGCACACGGAGGGCGTCAGAGGCTCCGCAAAGCCCACCCCCCGCCTCCCCCCCGCCCAGAAGCCTGTGCCCATCGGCTCCCACTGGAGAGAGACAAGAACAGCCTGGGGTCCGACCCCGACACCCATCGAGGTCAGACGTTCTCTCGGCTCAGAGGTTACGGCCGCGTCACCACTGCCCAGTCCCGGTGTGCCCACGGGCAGTGGCCGCGCTCAGTGTGGGCCTCTCACATCCCCTGCCCACGCTGGGGAGGCAGTGGCCAGGGTGGGACTGTGTCCCCGGGAACAGGCCTGGGTGGAGCCCGGGCCTCGGCACCGCAGCACCTGGCGGGTTTGCAGCCGGGGTCCCGGCATCGGAATCAAGTTAGCGTGAGGGCGTCAGGGGCCCTAATCCAGGGTGACCGTGTCCCTACAAAAGGGACCCGCGATGCAGGCAGAGACAGGTGATGCCCCTGGGAGCCCAGGAGGCCCCGGGGGGCCGCAGACCACCAGCCTCGAGGGACGGGCCTGGGGCAGCCAGCGGCCCCACCGTGACCTCGGCCCCGACCTCCAGCCCCGCAGACGTTCCCGCAGTGGAAGCCCCGAGTCTGTGCGGCTTGCTGCCGCAGCCCCAGCACACCCGCCCAGTCGCCACGGCGACCAGGACCTAGAACACGAGGCCTCGGGTGTTTCCCTCCTAGAGCACCAGCAGGAAAGGCTCCATCTGAGGCAAGACTGCAGCCTTCCCCCTCCCTGAGCTGCGCCCGGCCGCCCCACCGAAGTCCTGACTGGCCCGGGGCCGGGGGCGGGCCGCCTCCCGAGGCAAGCAGGGCCACTGGCTGCCCAGCCTCAGTCCCCACCCCGGCCTCTCCCCCAAGCCCCAAACCCACAGCCTTCTGGGTCCCGCCCACCTGCATGTCCAAGGCTGAACTCTCAGTTTTTTCCATCCAACCCTGCCTTGTCCCACGGGCCCCTTCTTGGCGAGCAGCACCCCACTCCCTTGGGGGCCCAGACTCAACTGCAGGAGCTGTGCCCCAGGCGCCTCTCCTCACCCCGCCGCACCCAGGCCTCCCCCAAGACCTGCAGCGTCCCCCCAGAGCCGCTGAAAATGCCCCGGGTGCAGGGCAGCCCCCGCCGGGCTGGCCTGGACCTGCCGCAGCCTCGAGCCGGACGCCCTGCCCTGGGTGGCCGGGGAGTTGCAGCCTGTGGGACAAGCCCCCTGGCAGGGCCACCCAGGGACGAGCCCAGTGAAGTAGCTCCGGTCACAGCCAAGCTGTGGTTTGAGAAGCTCAAGAACACCCCTGACCAGTGTGGCTCAGTAGGTTGGGCATCGTCCCACAAACCTAAAGGTTGCTGGTTCGATTCCTAGTCAAGGTAGATACCTGGGTTATGAGTCAGGCCCCCAGGAGGGGGCGTGCAAGAGGCAACAGATTGATGTTTCTCTTGCACGTCGCCACCTCTCTCCTTTTCTTCTCCTCCCTCCAAAAATAAGTAATAAATAAAATATTTTTAAAAAGAGAGATAGAAGGTTAAAGACACACCTGCCTGATTCTCCCTCCTCGAACACGCGGGAGCCGGTGGCCCCCCATGCCCTGCCCTCTGCAGCCCTGCTCCCCGGCTGCCGCTCCTCCTAAAGGGGCCCCGACAGCAACCACAGCGGATAGAGGTCACAGGACCATTTCCATCCACCCATGGGAGAACAGCTTTTTACATCAAAGCAGCCACAGCGGCTCCGCCCAGGCGCTGGGGGCGGGGGAGGCCCCTCCCACCAGGAGCGCCAGCAGCTCCGTGTCTGGAAGGCCCCGCGGAGCACGTGGAGAAAGGGTGTCCACACGAGTGCAGCCGTGGCGCCCGGCAGCCCACACGGGCTCCGGTGGACAGAGCTCGCCACGCCTGTGCCACCGCTCCTCGAGGTCCGCGAGATCCGCGAGGGGCGAGCGACAGACACGGCACGGTGATGGCGGGGAGGGGACGACAGGGGAATTTTGTCTCTTCTCTCTATTCCTGCACGTTTACAGTTTTCCTTGACAGGCTGCCCCACTCTGAGCCCGAGCTGCCTTCCGACAGGTGGCTCTGGAGGGAAGACATGGCTTCGTTCCCCGGGGCCAGACTCCATGCCCACGGGGGGCCCCTGGGCAAAGGGAAAGGGCGCTGGGCCGGCCTCAGGGACTCAGAGGGCTCCCAGCAGCCCTGGGCCCTGCCCCCATGAGACAGGGGCAGGGACAGGGGCAGGGGCAGCTAAGTGGTGACGGAAGGGCCGCCAGGAGGAACCTTGGGTGGCCCCGGGGAGCGCAGGGCAGCGAGCCACGTGAGGGAGGACAGGGAGCAAGTCCTCCCCACCCCACCCCACCCCACCCCCGCCGTGGACCAGCGGGCGTCTCCCCCCTCAGAAGCGGGGAGCAGGCCTGGGCCGTCCCTCCCCGCCGCACGTCCGAGGGGCATCTCCCAGGAACGCAGGTCAGCAGGGCCCCCCGCATCACACTCGGCTGGAGCCGTTTCTCCCCACCCAAAGCCACCGGCGTCCGGGCCTGACCAGGCCCCCCTCTGGCCCTGGCGGTGGAACTGTCAGAGGGAGGACCTGTGAGCGCCCCCCACCGTGAGCCGCCCCTCAAACCTGAAACACCGCGAGACTCCCCTGATGGCCGGCCCTGGAGATGGCCGGCCCTGGAGACGGAGGGGTCAGCCACAGGTCACCCGTGAGCTGGCCACACTGTCCGGGGAAGGGCGGGGAGCAGCGAGGGGCACGGGCGGCGGCCCACTGACCTTCTCCAGCTTCTCGAAGTGCTCGCGCAGGAAGCGCATGGGGCGCTCGGGCTTGGCGACGCACAGGTGCACGATGCAGTCCCTCAGCACCTGCTGGACGCCGTGCCGCTGCACGTACAGCTCGCAGCCGCGCAGGCTCTCGTCCTCCTCCAGCGGGGGGGCCGGTGGCGAGGCCATGGTGCCGGCGCCCTGCGTCCTGCGAGGAAGACACCCCCGGCCTCAGCACCCGCTGCCGGAGCCCCGGCCTGGACGCGCACGCACCTGTGTCCTGGGGCTGGTCGGCGTGGCCAAAAACTGTGACCCGTGTGGGTGTGACGCGGTCCACACGCTTCATTCTGCGCTGCCAGAGACCTGGCTGAGCTGTCACCAGAAGGACAGGCCTCACTTCTGGGGAGATCCCTGTGGGGGCCCGGGGGGCCCTCTGTTCTGTGCAGGGCTGAGAAGGCCCCCGCGTGAAGGGCGCAGCCAGCGGGCCCACCTGCGTCCACCTCTCCCCTTTGTGAGGACCGCCATGTGACAGGTAAACAGAGTCTGCGGCCAGACCGCTGGGGGCCCCTCCGTGAGATCCTGGGGGACGGGAGGTGGAGGGGGACCTGTCACAGGGCTTGGTCGCGGCGCGGGGTGGGGGGGTGCTTATTTGGAAAGGAAAGAGGAAAAGGAAAACAATTGAGACCCCGGCCGAGGGAGGGGCTTCTGGACGAAGGGAACCCGGAGAACAAAGGCCGTTGTCGGTCCCGCGGCTTCAGACCTGGGCGCAGTGACCCGCCCGGAGCTGCCGCATCCACCGCGGGGACCCAGGCCCGCACGCCTGCCCAGGCCTCCTCGCCACCTCCGCAGCCTCCGCGCTCCCGCCCGAGGCCGCCCCTCCTCTCTGCCCCACCCCCGCCCCCCCACCCCCACCGCCACAGCGGCGGCACCTCCTCCGGGTGCCTCTGAGCCCCTCCCCAGGCTGCACAGACCCCGGTCCAGGCTCGGGGGCAGGGGCTCCCCAAAGACCCACATTTCCCGGAGCCTCCCAGCTGCCGAGGCTCCCAGCTCCAGACAGTCGGGGTTCTGGCGCACACCCCACCCCAGACCCGCGTACCTGGGTGCGCTGCGCCGGAGCCTGGAGGCGGTTGCGCGGGGACGCCGGGACGCGGGACGCGGGAGGGTGAGCGGTCCCGCACTGCAGCAGCACCGCCTCCGCCCGCCGCTCCCGGCGCCAGCTCTCCCCACCCCCAGCACCGGACTCCCGCCACCCCTCCCTCCCCGCCCGCACCCGAGTCTGTCTCCCACGCTCCAGCCTCCCACCTTATCTCCCCAAGGACCAGCCTCTCCCTCCCTCCTTGGCGTTCCGGGGGCGCATGACACAGAGCCTGGCCGGACCTACCGATCCGTGGGCAGCCAGGCCAGGACCACCGCCCTGCCCCTCCTCCGAGGCAGACCCTGGGAGTGCGCGCCCTGCCCTGGCCCGCTGCAGCCCTGGGGCCGGGAAGAGCCGGGAGGGCCGCCCCCCCCCCCGCCCCGTGAGAAGCCCCCGGGACTTTAGGGGACCAGGGCTGTTCACTGCAGGCCCAGGGTGTAAAGTTTCACTCGCAGTTTGCCACAAAATGCCCACGTCTGCCTTAACGAAGCATCACCCTGGTGAGGATTTGGGGGACGGGCTCCCCACGGTGGCCACCAAGAAATTGGGGGGCTCAGGTGTGCTCAGAGCAGGTGCTCCCAGCCCCGCAGAGGCCCTCAGAGGACCCAGGTGGGCGGGGCCTGGGCCCCAGACCCACGGGCAGGGGAGCACCTGGGGGTGTGGCTTTCAGTCACCAGTCTGCGGGAGCTGGTCAGGCAGCGGCTGATGGATAGTTCATGGGGGGGTGGGGGGGGCAAGGGGAAGAGGCCCAGCTTCGTGGCCGGGCTGGGGCCAGACGGGAAGGCAGCTGCAGGGCCCCCATTCCCACAGGGCATCCAGCCCCCCCGAGGCCTGGGGCTGGGAGGTGGGACCCTGGGGTGATTATTAGGTGGTGGGGTGGAGCCCTCGTGAGTGGGATTAGTGTCCTTACAAAAGACCCAGGGAAACTCCCTCTTCCCTGCCACCACTTGAGGACACGGCGAGGAGGCTCTGGCTAGCACCCAGGAAGGGGCCTCACCGGCCCGGAACCTGCGGCGCCCCGTCCCTCCGACTCCCGCCCCGCCCCGGGTCTGGGACGGGGCTGCCGGTCCCGTGCAAGCCCCCAGGCCGCGGTGTCTGTGCTGCAGCAGCCGCAGCAGGCCGGGCAGCAGGGAGCAGGCGGTGCAGAGCAACCCCACACGTGAACCTGTACGGTGAAGAGGAAGGTTAGCCCTGGCCGGTGCACCTCAGAGGGTTGGGGTCGTCCTGCAGAGCCAAGGGTCGCCAGTCTGACTCCTGGTCAGGGCGCAGGCCTGGGTGGCGGTTCGGTCCCCAGACGGGGTGCGTTCGGGAGGCAACCGACCAATGTTTCTCTCTCACATGGATGATTCTCTCTCTCCCCCTCCCTTCCCCTCTCTCTAAAGTCAAGAATAAAATAAAAGTTAAAACATTACGAGTGAACAGACATTAAGGGGTCAGAACAGAGAGTCCAGAAACAAACCCCAATATTTACAGGACGTTACTTTGTGACAAAGAACATCAGAGGGGACAGCAGTGACTCGACCGACGGTTTGGTGAGAACTCGGGGGACGGCGGGGGGAGAGTTTCCCTGAACCCGTGTCGCTCTTCGTGCAGACGAATCGAGATTCAAACACGAACACGACGCTATAAACACGAGAGAAGTCGGGAAAACGTTTTACATTCTCGGTGCAGAGGCCGCCTTTCTCGGCATGACACAAAATCCAGGAGCCAGAAAAATGTAAAAATTGGTATTTTCGACTACCTAAAAATGGACATTTTCTGCATTAAGAAATACATTCAGAAGGCAAACAAAACATATTTACAAGACCCCTCACCAAAGGCTGCTAAGCCCCTCAGCACGAAGATGCCCAGCCTCACCCACAGTGAGGACGCCGCAGGCCAGAACCACGCGCTGAGACTATTTTCCACTTGTCCGACGGGCAAAGCCCCCAGGTCTGAGGCTGCTGCTCTGGACAAGGCGTGGGAGACGCCCCAACACACGTGGGTGGCGGGGGTGGGGTGCAGACTGGCGTGGAGTCTGATCCAGGAAAACCCGTCAACTGTTTAAATGCGCCTTGTCAGCTATGCTGGCAATTCCACTTAGATGTATTCATCCATATTGTCTATCTTAGGGATTTTATTTTTAAATGTATTTTATTGATTATGCTATTACGGTTTTCCCATCCCCCCCTTATTCCCCTCCGCCCTGCGCAGCCCCTCCCACCCACATTCCCCCCTTTAGTACACGTCCATGGGTCGTACATAGGAGTTCTCTGGCTTCTCCATTCCCCATACTATCCTAACCTCCCACTGCCTGTTTTCTACCCACCACTGATGCTTCTTATTCCCTGTACCTTTTCCCCCTCTCTCCCCTTCCCCATCCCAGCTGATAACCCTCCATGTGACCTCCATTTCTGTGATTCTGTTCCTGTTCTAGTTGTTTGTTTAGTTTGTTTTGGTTTAGCTTTTCAGTTCAGTTCTTGATCATTGTGTTTCTTGTCATTTTACTGTTTAGAGTGTTGATCTTCTTCTTTTTCTTACATAAGTCCCTTTAACATTTCATAAAATGATGGACTCCTTTAACTTGACCTCATCTGGGAAGCACTTGATCTGCCCTTCCATTTTAAATGATAACTTCGCTGGATAGAGCAATCTTGGCTGTAGGTCCTTGCCTTTCATGACTTGGAATAGTTCTTTCCAGCCCCTTCTTGCCTGCAAGGTCTCTTTTGAGAAATCAGCTGACAGTCTGATGGGCACTCCTTTGCAGGTAACTGTCTCCTCTCCTCTTGCTGCTTTTAAGATTCTCTCCTTATCTTTAATCTTGAATAATGTAATTATGATGTGCCTTGGTGTGTGCTTCCTTGGGTCCAACTTCTTTGGGACTCTCTGAGCTTCCTGGACTTCCTGGAAGTCTGTTTTCTTTGCCAGATTGGGGAAGTCCTCCTTTATTATTTGTTCAAGTAAGTTTTCAATTTGTTACCCTTCCTCTTCTCCTTCTGGCACCCCTATGATTCGGATGTTGGGACGTTTAAAGTTGTTCCAGAGGTTCCTAAGCCTTTTTTTAAATTTTTAAAAAGATTTTATTGATTTATTTTTAGAAAGGAGAAGGGAAGGAGGAAGAGAGGGAGAGAGACATCCATGTGTGGCTGCTTCTGGCACACCCCTCACTGGGGGCCCAGCCTGCATCCCAGGCATGTGGCCTGACTGGGAATCGAACTGGCAGCCCTTTGGATCACAGGCCAGTGCTCACTCCACTGAGCCACACCAGCCAGGGCATTTCTTTTGAATTCTCGTTTCCTCATCCTGTTCTGGTTAAATGTTTATTTCTTCTTCTGCTCCAAACCATTGATTTGAGTCCTGGTTTACTTCCCATCACTGTTGGTTCCCTGTACATTTTCCTTTATTTCACTCAGCATAGCCTCCACTTTTTCCTCTATTTTGTGCCCATACTCAGCCATTTCTGTGAGCATCCTGATGACCAGTGTTTTGAACTGTGCATCTGATAGGTTGGTTATCTCTGTCACTTGGTTGTATTTTTTCTGGAGCTTTGATCTGTTTTTCCATCTGGACATTTTTGGTCTCCAAATGCTTGTTACATAGTAAGGGGCTGAGCCTTAGGTGTTCAGGGGGTGGGGGCAACCCACGTAGCTGCGTTGTGGCGCTGTGAGGAAGAGGTCAGAGAGGGGACAGTGCTGCTTGCTCGGCTCTCTGCCGGCTTTCAGCCACTCCCCCTGCTGCCCACAAGCAAACTGGGCCCTTCTGGTGCTGATTCCCAGGTGGGTGGGTCTGTGTATGTTCTAGGACCCTGTGGGTCTCTCCAACAAACTCTCCTGTGAGGCTGGGAGTTTCTCCCTGCACCTCAACCCCCACAGGTGTTTTTAGTCAGAGGTTTTGAGTCTTTATTTCCCAGCTGGAACCCTGGGTTGCAGGGTCTGTCTCACTCCCCAGTTGTTCCTCCCGGTTTATCCGCAGGCAAATGTGGGGCTGCCCAGTCCGCCAGCCGCCACCTCGCCCACCCTGGTCCTCCAGCTGCCGCCTTGCTGCGAGTCCTCTCCACCCCAGCTGCCCGTCTCCACCCCTCCTACTGTCTGGATGAACGTTTAACTTCTTGGTTGTTAGACTTCCACACAGTTCAATTTTCCGGAAGTTCTGGTTATTTTTTGTTTTTAAATTTGTTGTTGTGCTTCTTTTGGTCGTGCGAGGAGACACAGTGTGTCTCCCTACACCTCCATCTTGGCCAGAAGTGTATTTATCAATGACTTGATAAAATGTCTCAGACCTCTTCACTGTCTCTGCAGCTCACCACATTTTCAAAAGGTGAGTCCAGGGACACACATGCTTGGACGGCCGAGGGCCTGGCCACTGCCCACACCCCTGCTTCCCACAGCCGCCCCTCAAACTCCACCCCCAGCGTCTCCCCAGGAAGCCTGCCCCCCACACACACAACCACATCTGCTTGTGCTGTCCCCTAATCAGCTCTCTCCCCACTGGCCACCAGCAGCATCAGAAGGGACAGCAGCACGCGCTTTGGCGTACGGCTGAGTCCGGGGCTGCACGCGCCTCCAGCGGTGTTTGCTGGACAGAACAGAGTCGAGTGAGTGTTGCTTGCTAAAATCGTTTTATTGCATTGTTGAAATGAAACACTTCATGCCACCTGGAAGTGGACGGACGTCCCCTCTTTTTACCCATCCTCTCCGGCTCCTTATTCCTCCTCCTCCTCCTCCAGGGGGCGCCGTCTCCGCCCAGACAGTACACGCGGACAGAGCCGCTGCATCTGGCTCTACTGCAAAGGTCTCCAAGTCCTGTGTCCGTGCTAAGATGCAAACCCGGTGTCCCCACCGACAGCACGAGTGTCCACTCCGCACGCAGGCAGCGAGGCCTGGGAGCAGCCTGGGCGGGAGAGGCCTGTCCTGCCTTCCTGGTCCCGCTCTCCACCCGCCGTCCCCAAACGTGCTCACCAGGGTCTGACCTCTCCCACTTCAGAGCAGCTCTGGCAACTAGGATTTCTGGACATCTATCTCTTCACTATTCGGGAAGCCTGAAGTCCGAGATGGAGGTGTGGGCCCCCCTGAGAGTGGGTGTCAGGGAGTCTGTTCCA